TTTTTTTCCGATAAATGGTATATATATAAAATTTAATTCTCATTAATGCTTTTTTAAATACATAACCACATTCTTATGTATATTAATGTATTTTAAACATATCTTCATGATACATGGGCATCATTTCTAGTTTTCCATTGAGTAATTTCTTTAAACTTTATATACAACCTAATTAGTGTACTAACCCTTATAAAATCTCTATTTTCTAGAGAAATAGAAAAATCTAACGTGTCAAACATATTTAATCTTCATACTATGTCAGTGCATAATGCAGCTATGCATTAAAACAAAAACAAAAAAAAAATCAATTTTTCAGGAAATATGTGGGTTAACCCCTACAAAAAAATCGAGTTATTCAATAATTTGTTATAAATACTTTTTTTAGTTTTGTTTAAAAAATCTAACCACATTTCAATTCAAAAAAAAAAAAAAAATCTAACCACATTCAAAATTTGTATTAATTTACTAAACTTATGTTGATGATACATGTGTATCAGTTCTAATTTTCAACCAAAAAATTTGAATAAAAACTTCAAATACCACCAAAATCATTGAACTAACCCGTATAAAATCTCTATTTGTAGAGGAAATTGGATAACTAAGGTATAAAATCTCTTTGATATTCATCATATATTAGTGTCGGACGCAGAAAAACATAAATAAAAAAATTCAATTTTTTTAAATTTTTCTTGAAATCTGTAGGTTTAACCCCTACAAAAAAATGAGTTTTTCCGATATATGTAATTTTTACTTAAGTTTAGCCTCTAGTGGTGTTTAGAATTTCTAACCACATTAAAAATTTATACTAATGTGTCCTAAATTTAATTTCATGGTACATGGACATCATATATAATTTTCCAATGCATAATTTATAAAACATCATATTCCACCTAATTCAATGGGCACACCCCTATAAAATCTGTAAGTTATTGAGAAACGGAGACAAATACGGTCTCAGACCTCTTTAATTTCTATCAACTACCACTGCATGATGAAGTTCTGCATTAAAACAAAATACCATATTTTCTATTTTATTTTACGAAAAGATCAAGTTTTTCCGATAAAAGGTATATATACAAAAGTTTAATCTCATTAGTGTTTTTTTTAAATACCTAACCACATTCTAAATGTATATTAATGTATTTTAAACATATTTTCATGATACATGGGCATCATTTCTAGTTTTCTAATTATACTAATGTGTCCTAAATTTAATTTGATGGTACATGGACATCATATATAATTTTCCAACGAGTAATTTGAAAAAATTCATATTCCACCTAATTCCGTGGAATATCCCCTATAAAATCTGTAAGTTGTGGAGAAAGGAAGACAAATACGGTCCCAGACCTCTTTAATTTATATCAACTATCACTGCATGATAAAATTATGCATTAAAACAAAATACCATATTTTCTAATTTATCTTACAAAAATTAATTTCATAACTTACGGATATTAAATACCTAACCACAGTCTAAATTTTATATTAATGTATTTTAAACACATATTCATGATACAGTGGCATCATTTCTAATTTTCCATTGAGTAATATTTTTAAACTTTATATTCGACCTAATTAGTGTATTAACCCCTATAAAATCTCTATTTTCTAGAGAATTGGAAACACCTAAGGTCTCAAATATCTTTAATCTTCATACTATGTTAGTGCATGATGCAGCTATGCATTAAAAGAAAAATTCCATATTTTCTAATTTATTTTGAAATATGTGGGTTAACCCCTACAAAAAGATCGAGTTTTTCGATAGTTTTTTATATAGACATTTTGTTTTGTTTAAAAACCCCTAACTGCATTCAAAATTTGTATTAATGTACTAAACTTATGATGAAGGTACATCGGCATCAGTTCTAATTTTCAACCAAAGAATTTAATAAAAACCTCATATACCACCAAAATCATTGAACTAAACCCTATAAAATCTCTATTTTCTAGAGAAAATTTTGGATAACTAAGGTATAAATCTCTTTGATATTCATCCTATATTAGTTTTGTATGCCATAAAAAAAATCTTAAATTTCTTTCGGAAAAAAAAGTTTCTTTCGAAGCTGAACTTAATGTCTCCACATTGATTTTGATTATATTTTACATTGAACGTTGAGTGTATTCATTCCTTCACCAAATATCAGAAGACGTATCTCCTAGACGATTAACAGTACATATATGGTTTTTATTATAAAAAGGTTTTGTTTTGAATAAAGACGGAAATATCAGATATGATATCTACTTTATTGATTCTTAGTATTCAGTGATTTTCTCCTTCTATTTTCATATATTGATTGAATTCTTATTGTTTTCGAGGATGATATCCATTTTATTGATTTTTTATACTATTTTTTTTTGTTACGTTGGATGATTTTTTATTACTTCAAAGATGGGATTATATCTACTTTTATGGACAGGCATTTACGTTGCATATTTAGCCGTTACGAATTGACAGGTAACGGCTAAATATGCATATGGTATATGGTGAAACAAAAATATATAAAACTTTCCAAAACTTCTTACAGTCAAACTTTCTTTATACCGGCATGACACTCTAATACAATTATTTTTCCTATATATTCACCGAAACGAAGATCTCAACTCCACACAATCCTAACCCTTTCAAACAAGTTTTGTTTTTGTTTTTTGTTTTGAAGAATCTTTCTTTTAAAAAGAAATGATGAAACTAAAGCAAACAAAGGTGATGTTTATGGTGTTAGCCCTAATCTCGGCATTGGTTTTCCTACAATCAGAAGCCGTTGAATATTGTCCGACAGGAAATATAAATACCGTACCAGGATGTTTCGATGCGTTGAGAATAGCAACGATCAACGATTACAGCAGGCTAACAAGAGATTGTTGCAGAGCAGTCTTTTCATTAAACTCTCATACTTGCTTCTTTCTTTTCTATCCTAGCGCACCTTACCCTATTAAGTCGTTCTTAAACATTTGTCTTCATGTTAAGTATGTCCCTGCTGGTTCACGTTTCTAATAAAGATTTGAATAACATATTTTTAAAATGAATCAAACGTTCCTATTTGATATTCTCATTCATCTTTATTTTAATCAGTTTCTTAGTACTGGAAGAAGTTACATGCTAACATATACGTACATAATACTATCCTTGAGAGAATCACATAATTGATGATACACAAATCAATTTCTTTCACAAACTTTCTTCACATCTCTGTATGTCTTATATATATATATATATATATAAGAAAATCAAGTGCACTTAGCACACATCTACTTCTATTAATTAATTCATACTCAGTTAGCGATCCAAAGATACCAATTCAATAACGTGATCACCAACAGAGAGAGAAACTTCAATTTCTCTTCTCCACATGTTTATTTTTCTCACTAGCCAATGGTTGTAGTAGCCTTCATTGTCGCCCCAGAATCGCAGCTTAAATTTGTATTGAAAGTGAAAAAGTTAGATGGTGTTATTCAATCATGTATTTTAAAAGAGTTTAAATCTAAACACAATCTACTGTTATTCAATTAATGATTCTAAATTTTATTTTAAAATTCACTGTTAATCAATCTATGATTGAATTTCAAGTTTTAAAATTTGATGTTATTCAACTTTTAAGGATTTCCAAATTCTTTGTAATATAAATGGATTTCAAATCATCAGTGATGGATTCTAATGAATAAATGATTAAACTCAAAATCCAAAGGATATTGCAGAGATTTTAGAATCCATCAACTTTAACAATCTTAAAATTTAAAATTCTGATAGATTGTAAATATTTAAAACTGATTTTAAATCACTAATTGAATAACACCCCCCAATCATGTTTTTTTTTGTTTGACTAAAGTCAGAATCATGTTAATATCATATAAACATTCAAAGCTGTACTAGAGATTGGCAATAGCGTTAGAGATTGGTTAAGGCAGGACAAACTCCTTCACCAGAACCTGACATGTCTTCACCAATCAGTATCTTCCCCATCCTCTCTTTCAACAACTCAACTTCCACACACAGACACAACAAAAACTGTCAAGACTTTTTTTATGAAACAGAGAGACTGATTTTTAGCAAACCTGAAGTCTCTGTTCCGATTCTTTTGAACCAAAGGTACTTTGGTCGTCGGAGTTTTCATCTTCATCCTCTTCGTGAACTCTTCCTCCAAGAGCCTTGTCCTAACGGCCATACAAGAAGCTGTGATTTCGTGGAGGAGATCAGAGCGAAGATACAGATCTCCCGGAGCTTGATCCAGCACCGCAGCTAGAGCTGCTAAGACTCGACGTTTCTCTGCTGAGTTTTCATAATTATATTTTTTTAATATTTTTATCAAGTGTAAAAATTAATTAAGATTTTAAGTTCAACAATTGGATAAAAACTTGTTAGTGTTAACCCATGGAACTTAGTGCTGATAGCTAGTGTTAATTATAAAATATTTCACGTTTTAGAAACATGAATCAAAATCTAGTTTTACTTAACACGTTAATGCATTCATTTCATCACCAAAGATCGGAACGTATACTAACACACAAGTGAACGTGTAGTATCTTAGCCGAGTAACAGTTTATAGTAGGCATTATTAACTTGTGACAAATATATGAATTGTACCATTGATATAATGGTGTTAATTAGTAGCTTTATATAGTACAGCTATACGAATCAAATAATATATGAGAGGATCATATAATTATTAAGGAGAATGTATGATAGAGTGATTATTGTGACCGAGTAAATCATATTCCCTCTGGTTTCTCTTTTTTTTGTTATCAATCTCCATTTTATTTTAATTATTATTTTATATATGTGCATATAGTTAAGAAAATATTTAGTTTTGTATATTTCTTAAATAAAAACATTATCATTTATACAGCCAATCACATTTTAATTAATAAAATAAATTAAAAAAAATATTATTAATAAACTTTGTATTAAAATAATAAAATATTTTTATTTTGTAATGACATTTTAATCTATAACAATAATTAAATTGAAAGGGAGGAAGTATGAGTTATGACTGATACTCTTTCCATGATAGGCTAATATATAAGAATGGTGTTTTTCTTTGAAGAATGGTTTTGTTTTGAACAAAAATGGAGATATAATATCTTTTTTTTTGGACAACCATTGCTTATATTAAATTAAAAACCCCGTGGGGTTGGAAGCTTACAACCGGAGGAAATCTCAACGGTAAAACAAAGAAAGAAGACCATAACAACGAAACAAAGGATAGATGTGTTAAAGGAGTGGAACAACCCATAGAGCAGCTTCACTTGGATTCCTAAAACTGTTGTTTGAAACAACAAATTGTAGTCGAGAACGACGTTGAAACACCCATTTGAAAGGGTTTGAGAGCGGATAGACACCGTCTCTGATGGTGGAGAATTCTCCTTTGAGGCAGAGCTAGATGAGGATGTTCTCTTCACTAAAGAGAGAAGTAATCCCGTCTTACCGGAGGAAGAATATGACACTGACCATTCCTTAAACGAACATATCTTCATTGTGGACTGGAAATGGTGTGATGATAAGCAACCAAATTCCCTTTCAGCTTGTGTAATTGAACCAATTTGTGAGGACATAGCGAAGCCTAGGTATGTAAGGTGCCATTTTTTGTGGAGCTGGAGGATGCTGGCCAGCAAGAGATTGGATAGGAAGCTGGGTAGGAGACCCAGTGATGAAGACGTATTCTTAAAGAAAACACCAATGGCGGTGTTTGGCAGTGAGTAGAATCGATTAGAGGTCTTCTTGTATAAAAAAAGGTTCGCGGCATTGACATGAGCCATCAATAGTGATGGGTCACCAGAGCCCAAATAAGAGATATACCCAGCCTTTTTAGAGGTCCAGGCCCAAACCAAAAGGGCTTTCAGCCCAAAGGAGAGAGTGAGCTCAGTCGGATGAGTGAGTGGGCTGGGTTGCTCGCCGGAGTAAAGGTCGACGGCTGAGGGGCGGAGGGGATCCCGAGGTAGAGACGGAGAAGCGTGTATCTTATCGGAGTGGTTGGAGTTCCCGTTGAAGAAGGTCGGAGATGAGTCAGAGTTGTCGTTTGGAAAACGAAACTCACCAGTACCATACGTCTCTGCGACCACGAGATCTACGAACGGGAAAGGTGATTGCAGCGGGTAAGTGACAGGTTTCGGGTGGAGGTCGTTGACGGACTTGATAGACCAGTAGGCGTGACCTCTCTCTGCCGGGGTGGCGATGGTGGGAGCGTTACAGGAGGAGCTCCACCTCAGCATCAGAATACCTCGAGTAGCCAGATCTGGTCGTCGGGTCAGGGGTGATTCCCCGCGGATAGTCGTCGACGCTTTCTCGACCGGATCTGAGGAGAGGAGGATACACTGCGGTGGTTGATACATGGGTCGCCACGATAAGCCTTCACGTAGGAGCCTCTTTACTGAAGTTTCGGAGAGGCGGCTAATAGATCTGAGCGGCGCGGTAGAAGAGAGACCCGAACAGTTCATAGAGACCACAGAGAAGAACCCAGATCCTGTGACCTTGACTAACATCGTTGAAACCACAGAGATCTCCGACGAGAGTGGTGAAGACGGTAACGTAACAGAACAACTAGAAGAGACAGGACACTGAAGCGAAAACGAGAACATGAAGACGGAGAGGAACACAAAGGAAGCGGAGCTGAGGATGATTTAATATCTACTTGATTCATTTCTTATGTTGGATGATTTTTATTTCTTCAAATATGGGATAATATATATTATATAATATTTGGTCAAACAAAAGTATTCAAAACTTTCCAAAACGGTCAAACTTTCTGTATTCGACACTACAATACAAAATATTTTCCTATTTATTCACCGAAATGAAGATCTCAACTCCACACACAACCCAACACTTTCAAACAATTGTTTTTCTTCTTGAAGAATCTCCTCTGTTTTAAAATGAATCAAAAGCAAACCAACGTGATGTTTCTGTTGTTAGCCCTAATATCGGCATCGGTTTTCCTACGATCCGAAGCTGGTAACTATTGTTCGACAGAAAATATAAATAGCATACCAGGGTGTTTCGACGCGTTGAAATTAGCATCAGGCCATGATTACAGAAAGCTAACAAGAGATTGTTGCAGAGCAGTCTATTCAGTAAACTCTGAAACTTGCTACTTGCTTCTCTTTCCTGGCAAAGCTTACCCTATTATGATGTTCAGAAACATTTGTCTTAATGTTCCACCTTTCTAATGTTTTCTGTTTCAATTAATGATAAATAATACTCCTTCCGTTTTATTTTAATTGTCATTCTACGTTTTTGCTCACAAATTAAGGAAACATTTAATTTTACATATTTTCAAAAAAAAAAACACAATTACATATACACCTAACAACTTTTCAACCAATAGAAAAATATAATATTATATAAAACTAATAAATTTTATCTCGAAACTCTAAAACGATACTTATTTTGAAACGAGTTTTTTCTCGCAGAATGACAATTAATTCGAAGAAACGGAGGGAGTATAAAAACTTTTTTTTAATATTCTCATTTTTATTTCATTAATTTCTTAGTACTGGAAGAAGTTACATACTATCCTTGATAATATCAAACAATTGATACACAAATCAATTTCTTTACTCACAAACTTTCTTCACATCTCTGTAGGTCTTATATATATATATATATATATAAGAAAATCAAGTGCACTACGTACACATCCAATTTATACATATTCAGTTATTCTTAGTTAGCAATTCAAAGATATCACTATCGATATCAAGTGCATTGCGTACACAACCTGTAGACATCTCAAAAAAAACAGTTCCAAATATAATTTGAATTTCTAATATATATCCAACATAGTTTAAGATATTATTAAATATATAAAATAATTTGTTTTTGCATGAAAGTTGATTGTTGTAGGTGGTGGTTGAAGCTTGAAATTTTTAGCATTATTTTCACTGAATAATGTTTCTCATTTCATGAGACTTCGTTTTCTTTTTACGTCTTTATTTATTTGATTTTTTTCAATCACTAACTATGTTTACCGTTCGTTTGATTTTGATATATTTGATGTTTTATTTTTGAATCAACTTTATTTATGTTTTGGTTACAAAATAGGTATAAACATATACTTTAAATTCGAAGAATTAAGTATATTTATATTTTGATTACAAAGTAAATACAAATCAGTTATTTTTAAATCAAAGAACCGATTAGGACCCGAAATCGAAAGCATAATGGATTATACCGGTTCTTTGAAAATTTACTAACTCTGATTCAAACCCAATAGATACTAAACTGATCCCCAACCAAATTTTACTATAATTTGAATATGACTGATTTTGATAAACACGAATTTTTTTCTGATTGTACCAAACCGAAACCTATTGGGATTCCGAACGCTCAGGTCTAGTTTTGAGGCTAGTGCTGATAATTGGTAAATACTATAGACCCTCTGAAAACATTAACTATTAGTAGGCCTTTACTAAAACCCGTTTTAGTATAAAAGTTGGGTAGGCTTCTTTTAAAAGCCCATACGACCAGTAATTTCTAGGGTTTCCTCCTTAAAACGAAAGTCGCCGCTGCAAGCGACCTTTAAATATGAACCATCTCTCCTCTGTTCCATCAACCACACTTAAACACTCAATTTAGCCTTCTCCGTTCATGTTTTCTTATATGCTTTTTTAGGTCTATTGTTTACCTTGATTTCTCTTAGTATTTCTTGATAAATAGATCATGTGATGAGATAATACTGCAACAATATGAACTTCATGATTCTTAGTATTTAAGTCTCTGATGATCAATAAATTTTTCTTTTTCACTTTGTCATCGATACTGGTTTTGAATTTAAAGATAAAAGAAAGAAGAGATATGATGAGCAACAAATTGGTCCGTGTTTCAGATTAACCGTGACCGAAAACTTTTTTAACCAAACTCTGATCTCAACTTCTTCCCTGTCAATACTATTCATTTTTTTCTCAAATTATTTTTTTTTCAGTTATCTTCTTGTGATATTGTTTCTGCAGTGATGATTTTATGAATAATTCACATGTCAGACTTCAGAGATTCTTAACGAATCAGTGAGAATGAATTCATATTTTCTGAGCATATGGCGAGTGTATTTTGCATTGAAGCTTCATTGGTCTATTTCAGACCGGGAATTATTTACAAAGAATCTGGCGGATAACAAAGTAATAATGAATTGATCATAATTAAGAAAATGATTATCACAACACCAAGGAACATAACGATAAATTTTTAACTTAAAATGCAAAATTATAATTAGTCGTGCCCGAAACCTGAATTCATCTCTAAAATGAGTATTTCTTACGTTCATTGTAGATTTGTGGACAAAATAAGAAAAGTTGAATCCAGTTTACCACATTAAGAAAGCTTACCAAGGTACAATAATCTTCTGCTGAACATAAAGAAAATTAACGGTGATGATGGACGTTCAGAAGATAATTCTTTACCAGAGCCAGAACAATATGATACAGTGAGATGTATTATTCTGTTTATTACAGCTTCGTGTTGTTAGTAAGATGTAATACGATCTGTCTAAGCGCCCAAAAAAACTCGTCAAAGATTTGCCAACGTGGCGAAACATCAACCAAAGTTTCTATTTTAGATCCCATTTTGTCTCGTTTTTGCAAGATTTTTTTTTACGTAAATCGATTCGAGGATGGAAATATTTCGAAAGGCAGCGATTGTGCGGCTTCATAGCCACAACGGAAAGTACCTAACCGCCGACGAAGATCAAGAATCCGTTCATCAAGACCGTCGTGGCACAACTAAAAACACCCGATGGACCGTTGAGATTGTTCCTGGATCCAATGTCATCCGTCTTCAAAGCTGTTACGGCAAATACCTTACAGCCTCTAATACTCATTTCCTCCTCGGAGCCACCGGTAAAAAGGTATTATCAAGAGGTTTCTTGTTACCTTCCCAAATAATAAATTACCCTCAAATGAAATTAGGTTTTCAAAAAAGATATCTTGAATAACAAGGCAACCCAATAAATTACCTTTAGCTGGAAAATGTTTAATGTTTATATTTTGCTATAACGCAAAACAAAGGCCCAATGAATATTTATCCTTTAAATCATCATTATTAGGTTTGTTGCGTGATTCATAATTAACTAACTTGTAAAACAAGGTACTTCAAACCTTACCGGCAAAGTTGGATTCGTCGGCCGAGTGGGAACCAATATCGGACAATGGCAAACACGTACGGTTCAAGAGTCGGTACGGACATTATCTAAGAGCTAACAAAGGTGTACCGCCTTGGAGAAACTCTATCACACACGATATCCCTAGCCGTACGGTCACTCAAGATTGGGTTTTGTGGAGTGTTGATGTTCTCCATATCCGAGTTATCAACGATGATGCTGAATCTACTCATAGTTCTTCCGCATTTTCACGGGTCGAGGTACTATTATACATAGATACCATCATACCAACACTAGCTAGTGATCATTTTCAAATTATTACTTATGTTATATATACTTGACCAGTCAGGTGATTCATTTACTGTGACCTTACCCCCAAAACCCGAAGGTAGACTGATATATTACGAGGTTAGAGATGATTGTGGGAACATACATAACGACGAAGACATAGAAGAAAAAACATTGATATTCCATGGAAGCGAGTTAACAGAATTGAAGAAGCAACTAGAGGAAGAAACAGGGATCAAAGATCTTATTGTTTGCTCTAGAAATCCTTTAAATGATGAGAAGCTTTGTCCTCTTCAGTTGCATCTCCCTCCTAATAACGCAACAATGCACGTCATCATCGTTCCTCCTTCACTCGGTACTAGCTAACTTCTCCTTTGATTATACTACGCTTTTCAAAATCGTTGTTAAGAGTTATATATATTATTTAGATCTTAGCTAGCTAATATTTTGTAGTTCGTTCAAAAAAAAAAGCTAGCTAATATTTTAAGTTTCTTTCAACCACATGAGAACAATCTATATAAGAGAAAGTATATTATGATACATTTGAGACATGAGTGTCCAAAAGTTCTTGTTTTCCAAATTTTTGTTTCGAATCTGAAAATCAAAGTCTCTATCCGACATACTTTTTTCTTAAAAGTCTCGTTACGTCTCGGAACATGACAAATCTTCATCATCCCAAGTTTAATTTAGTTTATTTATATCTAATTTTGTTATCGATTTTTGTTTCCTTTTTGTTTAATTTGCAGATATTGACAACCAACTTGGTGGAGAATAGACTAGAGAGTTGCAATTTCATGCTGTTTCTCTACTAGTAATAAACAACGTGAAATACGAGCTTCAGAAATACAAAACCTTTTGTTAATCAAAAAAAACAACAACTCAATGCGTACTCCTTGATATGTATTCATTTGTATTAGATACGTAGAATAGAAGAATATACTCTTTTTTTTGCCAAAATTTGGTACAGGAATATACTCTTCCTCGTCCTCTCTACTGAATTTTGTTAATGATTTTGTTTTTGTACATGTCTCAGCTTTGTTTTTCTCCCAAAGTTCTTATAAAATGAACTTAAATGTAGATATTTCTATTTCATTTTTGGGTATACTATATACTTATGAAAGGGACTCATGCAGTTGAGTAGTTTGTATTAGGATAGTATAATAACATGAAACATAAGTGAGTCACTCGTGACGTACCTGATATCATTTTTTCCTTTGTAATTGTTAATAAGCTGTGAGATTATTAGGTCAACAGTGTTTTATAGTCTCTCAGATTTGCTAGAAATTCAAAACTTACAGTTTTCTTTTTTTGTAACACTTGAAGCTTATAGTATTAAAATCCTAATTACTGGCCGGCAAAGGTATCATTTAAGAGTAAAACTAATTTTATACGTAATGTTAATCAAAACCAGCTTTTCTTCTTAATTTTTCACTGGTTTAGCTTCACTTAAATCGAAAAAGTGAAAATGAAAAGCAATATGATTAGGAGCTTCTTTTTCCAAAGAAGCACAGAACATCCAAATTAAATATGTCTATAGGTTTTTCTTCTCTTTTGCTGGCAAAATCTCAAGAGATTAGACTAGTAAATGGATAGACCAAAAGAGAGAGAAGTGTGAATTTGAATAGGTCAAGTAAGTGGATAATTCAATTAAATTGTAAACTGAAGGACATATTCAACAAATTGAAGAATAATAAAAAAAAAAGTAATAGTTATTACAAAGCAAAAAAAAACTCATTTTGTTTTTGTTTTTGGTCAGATTATAAAAGAATCTTGATTAGAAAACTCATTGTGTTTGTTTATAAAATTGTGAAGCGAAGGAGTTTTGATTATAAGATTTGTTCTTGAAACTTGTTTAAATTAAAATATAAAGAGATGTTGAGGCTACGAAAAAAGCGTTTTGTAACAGTTGAGAGAGAGAGTAAGCAAACAAACACATGCCAAATCTCTTGTCTTCTCTCTATTTCTCTATTGCCGGCTTTGCCCCCTTCTTTCTTCTCTCTCTCTCTCTCATCTTCACAGACATCAATTCCCTTTTTTGACTAAAATTCTCTCTGCTTTTTTAATCCAAAGTGATTCTCTTCTTCTTCTCTCTTCACCAATATCTCTCCTTTCTTCCTTCCCCACAACATTTCTTCTCTAATCTCGTTTGTATTTTGCAGAGTTATCTTTTCGTTTGTTCACTCTCTCTCTCTCTCGTGCTCTTGTCAAGTTCTGTTCTGTTCTGTTTTGGTCTGCGGATGAGTTTAGATTCCGTCAAAGTAATGGAGAAATCGGAAAAATCTAGTGAGAGCGAGAAGAAGAAGAACAACAATGTCAGGAACAGTGAAGAAGGTGAAGAAGAATCAGGAAGAAGTGGGTGTTGGGTCAAATTTAGAGTTATGGTTTGTTGCCTACCTTCAACAACTGACGTTGATACCTCTCCCACCCTCTCCACAACCACTCGTATGCCCTTCCTTCTTCTCCATTTGGCTTCTGCAATTCAGATATAATTTTAATTTGCCTTTTTGAGCTAATAAAAACCTTTCCTTTATTTGATTATTCTTTCTGGAATTCTAAAAAGACTTAAAATTTTTCATATAGTGTTCTTTCCCATCTGTGTTCTCAATGTGGTTGGTTGGTTTACCTAACTTTGAGAATTAATTTGAATTTAACCACTTTGATGCCAATCCAAAATTAATAATCCTATATATCTTGACATTTGACCCTTTCTAGTTTCCTAAACCACTTCTTCTCCTTTTCTTTCCGTCAAAAGCTCTGTCTCCTTGGACATTTTCTTGCTTCAAAGTCACTTCTGCAGTGTCGTTAATGTCATATAATTGATCATCATGTCCTTATTAAATCCATTATAGTGGAGAAGAAAAGCTTTGTCCTTTCTTACCAGTTAGTTAGTTATTTTGTAGTGATATATTTTGTTTTGCTTTTAAAACAGTGGGAAGTAGTAAGTCTGCAACTGTGAAATCAAATGAGCAACCAGCTGGTCCTGTTTCCTCTTCTACAACAGCAACTAGCAATGCAGAAAGCTCTTTGTCCACTCCAATGATCAGTGAAGAACTTAAGATCTATTCTCACCTTAAGCAGTTTTCTTTCCTTGATCTCAAGTTAGCTACTAGAAATTTCAGACCTGAGAGTCTTCTCGGTGAAGGTGGCTTTGGTTGTGTCTTTAAAGGATGGGTCGAGGAGAATGGAACTGCTCCTGTTAAGCCTGGCACTGGCCTTACTGTCGCCGTCAAAACCTTGAATCTTGATGGACTTCAGGGTCATAAAGAGTGGCTTGTAAGCTCCTTTCTTCTTTTACACTGTTGAAGCTTAATACAATACATACAACTAAAGGGTTTCTGTATTGTGTTGTCTTTGCAGGCTGAGATAAACTATCTCGGTAATCTTCTCCATCCAAATCTTGTTAAACTGGTGGGTTATTGTATCGAAGATGATCAAAGGCTGCTGGTTTATGAGTTTATGCCTCGAGGAAGTTTGGAGAATCACCTATTCAGAAGTAAGTTAAAACAATTACAAACCTTCGTACTATACAGTAAACTTTAGATCTTCCTCTTGTGTTTGTCTTCTGAGTTATATAATTGATGTTCTTTGAACTTGTGCTTGTGTGTTGAAGGGTCGTTGCCTCTTCCGTGGTCGATTCGGATGAGGATTGCATTAGGTGCTGCAAAGGGTCTCAGTTTCCTTCACGAAGAAGCTCTTAAGCCTGTCATCTATCGTGATTTCAAAACCTCCAACATTCTACTTGATGCAGTATGTTTCCTTTTTTTTTTCACTTCTTTCTTTAACCAGCTATGTCCTTTCTTCTAAACTTGTTGTTACCAAATATCACAGGACTACAATGCGAAACTATCAGATTTTGGGCTTGCCAAAGATGCTCCTGATGAAGGCAAAACGCATGTCTCTACTCGAGTGATGGGCACTTATGGTTACGCTGCTCCTGAGTATGTTATGACTGGTTAGTCCTTTCACTCTCTCCCCTTATTATTCTCTATTAGCACTGATGAGATTGAAACTGTTTTGGGAGATATTGTATAACTAAATGTTTGTTTGTCGTATAGGTCACTTGACATCGATGAGCGATGTCTACAGTTTCGGTGTGGTTCTACTCGAAATGTTGACTGGTAGAAGATCTATGGACAAAAACCGACCAAGCGGTGAACACAACCTCGTGGAATGGGCAAGACCGCATCTCCTTGACAGAAGAAGATTCTACAGGCTACTTGATCCGAGGCTGGAGGGTCATTTCTCTATCAAAGGAGCTCAGAAAGTGACCCAGCTTGCAGCCCAATGCCTTAGCCGTGACTGCAAAATGAGACCCAAAATGAGTGAAGTGGTTGAAGTCTTAAAACCGCTCCCACTCCTCAAGGACATGGCTAGCTCTTCATACTACTTCCAGACAATGCAAGCTGAGCGATTGAAAGCTGGGTCTGGGTCTGGTCGTGGGTTGGGGTCAAGAAACGGGCAACCCGTGTTCAGGACTATGTCTAGTCCTCATGGCCAAGCTGGTTCCTCACCTTATCGTCATCAGGTTCCGTCTCCTAAGCCCAAAGGTGCAACTACTTAGATATCAATCTCATTTCCTTTAGAGACTGGCTCTTTCTTGTGACGCAAGGGAAGGTCTTTTAACCGATGTAAAACCATATTCTTAACCGATTTAGAGAGAGAAGGCAATTTATGGTGTATAAGATTGATCTGAAAGAAGATACGATGTTGTTGATTCACCTTTGTCACCTCCTTCTATTGTGTATACTCTTCAACTTGTGTTAGTGTTTACCTGTTAGGCGGGTAATGTTTTACTACTTACTAGTCGTTCTCGCAATTTCTCAGTCGCTTGGCCGACCCAGTACGCAACCAAACCTGACCTAACCTTTGTTATTAAATGTGGATGACGTTTAGCTTATAAAATGTTTGAATCTTTTTCCTCTTTTGATATTTGGACTTATCCACCCACCCATCCTTATAACTGACTGCATGTGAGAAGTGAAAACCTATTAGGGGCAGGGCAATATTATCAATGTAAGTTCTTTTCACACATCACAGTCGCTTCACCAGCACTCAACATAATCTTTAATACTATGAATGAACAAAGGGTATTGAAAAGTGTTGGGATGAAATTTCGCTTTTAATACTTTTGAATCTTTTCCTCTTTTGAATTTGGTACTCACCCGCCGCTTATTGCTTTAGGTAAAAGATTTAATCGAATAGTTATCTCAATAAAAAGTAACAATATGTCACAGGATGAACACCATTTCTTACGTGAAGTTAGCGTTTATTCAACTACTCAAATGCAACTTATCCATCTTAGTATTTGTTAGACATGCATGCCGCACGGACCAACGACTTTTACTCAGAAAACTGTATCTTTAATTTTGATTACTTATGCTGTAATTTGTTTTGTTTTAATTTATTTTTATTGAATATTGATCATTGTTTACAAAATGAAATTTCATGATTTTCAAGAAACATTCAACTATTCAAGAATAATGGACCTTTCCAAACTTGCAAGTTTTTTTAAAAAAAAAAATCCGGGAATTCCACCTTTTTCCAGCAAATAGAAACAGATATTTACACACATTCTATCTTGTTATATTTTATTTTCCCTGCACATACCAGCTGCAGATTTATTAATATAAGTAGAGTCTAGTCAACGTTCTCCCCTGCAATTTTGAGTTTGAATGTATTGAAACATATAAAGTGTATGTATTTCTTGGTAAACAAATATTATTCAAGATGAATGGATACCATTATAATGAATGTTCACGCGTAAACAAGAAAAGGTTTATCTGGTGGCTAATCCATTTATTGAAGTCTTGCCAAATATATAAAAAATGACAAATATTATCAAGTCTGATCATTTGTTTCCATCTCCAAGAACCAAGATTATACCATTCTATTTAAGACTTTTCAAAAAGAAATGTCACTTCCGAATAAATAAATACGAAATTTCCTAGGAGTAATCACATGACATCTTGACATGATCATCATCTTATCTATAAAACTCCTCATGCGGCTTTCCTCTCTTCCACTAACTTTTTTCACAGAGCAATAAAGACTTAAAGGTAATGGGGAATCTTTTGTGCTGCGTGCTGGTGAAGCAATCAGATGTGGCAATCAAGGAGAGATTTGGAAAGTTTGAAAAAGTTCTAAATCCAGGTCTCCAGTTTGTGCCTTGGATCATAGGTGATTATATAGCTGGTCACCTCACCCTCCGTCTCCAGCAACTCGATGTTCAATGCGAAACCAAAACAAAGGTAATCAACATTCATCACATATACACATACCTCCTTCTACTAACGAAAATCATTTTGTATCAGGACAATGTGTTTGTGACAGTGGTTGCATCGATACAATACAGAGTCTTGGTTGACAAGGCAAGTGATGCTTTCTACAGACTTAGTAATCCAACTTCCCAAATCAAAGCTTATGTCTTTGACGGTAACTAACTAACTGCTCCTTCAACATCTTCTACTTACTTTTCCCAAGATTATATTCAGATCAAAATTTTCTGAGAATATTGGTTATGTTCCTCTCAGTGATCAGAGCATGTGTACCAAAGCTGAACTTGGACGATGTCTTCGAGCAGAAGAATGAAATCGCCAAATCCGTGGAAGAAGAGCTCGACAAGGCCATGACTGCTTATGGTTATGAGATCCTCCAAACCCTTATTATCGACATCGAGCCTGACCAACAAGTTAAGCGCGCCATGAACGAAATCAACGCTGGTAAGTCATAATCTTAGAACCACAAATAGAAGTTATGTCGTCTCTGATGATGTTGTAATTAATAAATGGTTACAGCGGCGAGGATGAGAGTGGCGGCGAACGAGAAGGCAGAGGCAGAGAAGATCATTCAGATAAAGAGAGCAGAAGGTGAAGCTGAGTCCAAGTACCTATCTGGACTCGGTATAGCTCGTCAGAGACAAGCTATCGTGGACGGTCTCAGAGACAGTGTTCTAGGGTTCGCCGGTAACGTGCCTGGGACGTCAGCTAAGGATGTGTTGGACATGGTCATGATGACTCAGTACTTTGACACGATGAGAGATATCGGAGCTAGCTCTAAATCTTCCTCGGTGTTTATCCCACACGGTCCTGGCGCCGTCGCTGACGTGGCGGCACAGATTCGAAATGGATTATTGCAGGCCCATCAGACCAACGCCTAAAGGGTTCAGTCAAAAGTCAACTGTCTGAAAGTCGTCTCTTCATCATGTGTTTTTTTTTCTTGTGCAGTTTTATCTTTTTTTTTGGTCTGCCTTTGTTATTTTTGTATTTATTTTACTAATTCAGTTTGAATGTGAGAATCAAAACTATAGCTATCTCTATATCTATGTTTTCACTGTATTGAGTTGTCAATGGTTGTAATACTTCCGTGATTACTGAATAAATTACTTTTTTTTACTGAAGTCTTTGAATAAACTGTGATGACCATGTATTCATGTAGAGTGTCAAACGAACGCTACTATAAATTGCGCGTCTACAATGCACGTAATCTATACCACATCACGGCATGGCCCAAACTACCAATACGTGGAGCTCAAATAACTATCTTAATCAACAATTTGTATTTTTCTGTTGGCCCAGTTAATTAACCCAACCACAATCGAATATCCAATTTTCATATTCTGATACTTTTTTCTTATAATAACAGTTAGACAAATACGAAATTAGATGATGTGTTGAAGAAAAAATCTCACATAAATCAAATAAAGAAAACAAATTCCACTGCATATGGAAGAAAAGAAAGGGAAAGGATTTTCAGTGTTTCATCATTTCACCAAGACAAGACGATCATTTTTTTCAACCTTATTATGCTCTACAAATCCGACAAGAAAACGAGGAAAAGATTTGAGCAGTAACCATTAAAACCACCAACCAAACAAGCACAGAACCACATCGGAGGAAAAAAAACTACTTGAAATGTTTTGCTTGGATTGATTCATCTGTTGGCTCCATTTTCAAGGCTTCAGGGCGAGGGACAATCCAACCTTAGCATTTTTGTCAATAGCCTTAGTGTCAACTTCTCCAGAGACTGTGAAGAAGGAAGTGGGTGTCCACTGGTGTTGAATGAGTGCATTGGCTATCCCCACACTGTTCACACGTGCCTTCACCACGGTCAAGGGGTCGATGGAATGTTGTGTTCCTACGGTAATGGTGTTGACATTGGTAGAGAACTTGTGGTTCACTTCAGCTCCAACAGCAGTGTTGAATAGCGGGTTAACAATGTGGTAGTATGACGCGTTGACAGAATCGCCTTTGTCATTCCTAAACAAACAAGGATAGTCAAGATAACCTTTGTTATCGAAATTGATACCCATCTTCCATCCACAAGTTTCTTTCACAGAAATTAACTTACAGGGTAAGGGAAGCAATTAAATCATCCTTGGTGAAGTTGAGTCCAGCATTGATCTTGGTGAAATTGCCTGATTTGGTGTCGAAGGAAACGTCAGTACCAAATGCCAAGACATTGGTACCCATAACACCAGAGAAGTTGACAGTGGGGTTTTGAGTCAATCCCAGGCTGGTGCTGATACCGGCATATTCATGCAAGTACTGAAGCTCAACCTGTTTTGAAAGAGGAGGAATACACCAGTATTATGAACTCAAGAAAAGTCATAAGATCATCAAAAATACAGATGGTTGAAAAAAAAAGATAATAAATACCTTGCCAGAGTTTTGGTCAGGGGCCCTGAAGCTGAAGATGGACTTCAATCCAGGTGCAGCCTCATCAACGGTGGCAGTGATCAAAACCTGAACACATAGGTGTTGGCGTTGAGTGAATAGATAAGATATAATCTGATACAAGAAATCTAAATGTATCTCGGGGGAAGGAAGGAAGGAAGGAATATAAACATACGGTATTGTCAGTGCAAACTTTCAAATCAGTGGTGATGTTTTTTTGCTTGAGTTGGAAACCGACATCTCCCAAGAGTGAGTCACCTTTCTTGGTTCCAGTTGAAGTGATGGCCTAACAGAGCAAAGAAGCTTATGAGTAACTATGAGACGTCCAGAATATAACAACAAGCACAATGCTTACTAGTACTGCAATCTCAGGAGTGAACTCATTTAAAAAGCAAATCAATAGAACAAAAAAAAGTAGAAACTAGAAACAAAATCACTAAGAGAAAGACCACATCATATTAATTCCATTATCATCATCAAGTAAGAATAGAGTTGAAGGGAAGCTTACAACACCGGCAGGAGAGAAAGTGGTGATACTGAATTTCTGGTCGCTGTTGTGGTCCTTGTACAGCAGATCTTGTCCAAGCCAAAACACCAAAATAAAAAAAAAAAACATGAGAGAAAGAGATTCAACATAACATATATTCCAATTGAATACTCGCATGCACATATCAAAGAGAGAAGCAGAGTAGTTTTTACCTCTGGCTTTTTTGCCGATGTCAGTGTAGAGACCTGGTCCTTTCCCCATTTTTTTTTCCTGATATTGTTCGAGAGAGAGAGAATAGAAAGCACACGAACGAAGAAGAAGAAACACACAAAAGGACAAAACCTCTGCTTGTGGCGTCTAATAACAAAACCCTAATTTTTATTATTTCTTTTTTTAAAGGCTAAATTTTATCAGCCATAAGATCGTCACTTTTCCCTCATCCATAGCCGTACATAGTTTCATTCTCCAATAATCATTTTCTTCTCTAATTATTGCGGCGTCGTTTAGTAGTTAACCATTTTTAGGATCAGGGAACGGTCTGATGGCATATTCCATCTGACTTTCTAGTTTGGACCTCTTTTGAGGCGGCCCATTTGATTGACCTTGATCACTAGACCACCACCACCATGAGTGATAAAATTATATCCCCTATATATTTCATCTTTAGTACAACTTGGACACTCTTACAAAATAATCACTGTAATTACTAGTTACAAAATAAATAAATTGTAACGCAACAAAGCGTTGATAATGTGTATACATACAAAGATAGATAGATACGTGTATATGCATGTGTGTGATAACGCTAACCAAAACCTCTAAGTTTTCTTCAACAGCTTAACAATCCGCTTTATGGTAGACATAAACTCTTTCTCCTTCTCAGGAACCACCGCGTGATACGCATTCTCCTTCCATGCTCTGTAGAAAAACGATTCTTTCTCTACAAATATCGTAGCTTTGTTTGCGTTGCACGTTCCGTTCTTCAGAGTATCCGAAATATCGTTTAGCAGCGATTCAGACGTCACCAATGAACCCAACTCCTCTTTCATATCACCCTTTGATTCCTTCTTCATCGTTTTCAACTCTCCCAGCAACTTCTTTGCATTCTCAATCTCTTTTATAAGTTTGTCGGCCATTAGTTCTTTTTCTTCTTCTACTTTTAACGTTGTCAATGTTTCGGGTTTTACATCGCTGAGTTTCACTAGCTTCACGTCTCTCGCTGCACTCTCTTCCATGTTCCATCCCAACGCGATTACTAGGGTCACGACAAGACTAGATATTATGAAAGATCTCGTTGCCATATTGTATTGTCTCAAATTGATTAAGCCAAAATCTTCTTGTGTCCATACTACTATATACGACAGAGGATTGAAACTTATTTCGGTGGTAGCCGTTACATGGACAAATATTTTCTAAAAGTAGAAGGTTTTTTTTTTGACATGTCTAAAAGTAGAAGGTATATTTTGATAGATTGATGTTCTCTATTAGTAAATGCTATAAAAATTGAGAAATTTATGGCTAACCAATGTGAGTACAATACGCTGACCATTGATTTAAGGTTTATATATGTACATACTATCATTAGTCACAGATAGTAGTATAAAATACCTGAAACATAGAAGACAAGAACTCACAGATCTCTGCTCACCTCTTTTCCTTTAACAAACTATTTGAATATAAAATTTCAAATTTATTTGTTAAGGGAAAACTGAGCTCTAAATCATGGCAAAGATCTCCTTATTGCTTTTCGTCATGGCCCTTGTTGCCTCTCTCCACGCTTATGAAGCTCACCGCATGGGAAAATTCGATGAAGCGCTTGAAAAGGACTTGCACAAAGCCGAGGCCCTGATCGAGGAAGACTTAAAGGCCACGAAAACGAGCATTCAAGGTTTGACATCAGAGATGAAAGCCTTGAGCAAATCTGAAGAGATGTTAAATCAACTTGGAAAAGACTACAAAAAGGATATGGATGTAGCTCCTTATGGAAAGAAACTCAGAACATTCAGCAGGGCAGCTAAAAATGCCACAAAAGCACCACCTGCGAAAAGCAAGAAACCTGCATCCGTAATCCAAACGATCTTGAAGGATTTTGGGCTAAACGGAGGGAAGGAATGACAAAACATAATAATAATTAATTAGGGTTTGATTGATGTTTTGAGTGAGTTTTATGGAGGTTTGAACTTGTTCATGGAGTTTAGCTTTACAAGTGAGAGGAGTAAATAATTCCCCCACCTAGTATACAAGTTACGTACGTTGCTATCATTTTGTAATTAATACGACTAAATGAAATATTACTACTTATGATATCATAATATGTTTCTATGCATTTTTATGACTGCTTTCGATTAAATTAAACTTCGTTAACTGTTATTGCATACAAAGTTTGAGATACTATTTATAAAATACTATCGATAAACCAAATTAGTTTACAAAACGGAGAAACGTTTTCTCAAATAGATATTAGATGACAAATTGATAGTGTGGCTTAACAGATATAGTTACAGATAAAAATGATCTAGGGGACGATATATATATATATATATATATATATATATATCCAATAGCATAATCATGTGATTTTCAACATCATTTTAATCTTATTATAGTCTTATATAGAAGATGTATTCTAAATCAAACTCATTGTTACTCTTGCTAATTTATATGCCCTCTGTTTATAAGAGAATAAAAATTGTATAATAACATTTTTTAAAGATACATGTCATGAAATATGTAACTAATAATAATAATGATAAATTGTAAAGTGCGAAAACGGCCGGTAGTTATTCAAATACTATTAGTTTAAATTATGGAAAAATATCTGAACATAAAACTAATACATTTATAATCAAATTTTAATATATTTTCTTATTATGTATGAAACAAAACATTCATTATTTTAAAACAGAGAGTACAATACAACTTTGTCCATTTTATAATATTTTTTTATATATTCCACTATTTTATTTTCTACATTTAGGCAATGATCCGCTAATAGAAATGATTTTCCCTGATGTTTTCTAATTTTTGTTTCATAAAATATCGTTTTGTTTACTTAGCACAGTTTTTTTTTTGTTTAACAAAGGTATAATTTCTCTATTACTTTAACATATTAACTCGAGATATAAATTTGTGCAACGCAGTAATAAAATACAGTAAAATTTCTAATACGTTTCTTAGTATGTGTGAAATAACTTACCATAAACATGTCGAGTAATATTTCAGTTCCGAACATTGAATTTTGGATAACAAAGTGCGTATAGCATACTTTTGATGCAATTCCATAGGGCTTAATTTATAATATATCATGGTCCTCATAAACCTTTAACTTGATTTTTTGGGAAATAAACCTAAAAGTTGATCACTTTTCAAATTCTACATTTAAATAGTACCTATTTTCATAAATAGCATAAGTTTACTATGAAGAATACAAAATTAACCTTTCCAAATTATTTAGAAATGATTAAAGAATTATCATAGAATTTTATATGCTCAACCCCAAGCCTTAAATACTAAACCATAAATAATAATCAATAATTCTTAAATCCAAATGTTAGGATATGTTTGATTGAATGTATTTTTGAAAAGTATTATCCAACTTAATGTATTTCAATCAACTTTTTTTGTACTGGGTAAGTGTTGATTTATCAGTCATATTGTTTTGCTTCCCAAATGCTATCCATAACCAGAAAACGTTTTCTAAAATAATTTTCTTAGCATAAAACTCTTTAGATTAAAGTGAGTACATATTATCTTAATTTACATTTAACCATTAAAAATTTAGTTATAATTTTTATTTTATTTTGAACATATCTAAGTCGAGATCTCTAAAAATGGCTCTCATCTATTATCTATACATTATTTTTAACAAATACTTATTTATGTGAGTGATTGTGTTGAGTTATGTTGGCTCACATTGCTAAACGTTACACGAAAAGTATATAACTATAGGAATCTTATTTCTGGAATTTCCATAATGGAAGGTTAGAACTTCAAATTGGAAGGTTTTGAATAAGATGACTACAAAATAATTGCGAATTTTATGGGTGACCAAAGAAAAGTAATTAACGAAGTCAATACCATTCGCTGACCATCAAAACAAGGTTACTATTTTTACGCACAGGTAAAGCTATAGATTCTTTAAGAAGTGACCACACTAAAATATAGTTTGATCTTAGATTAAATTACGTTGAGGGAAAATTAATCGGTAAACATGGCAAAGATCTGCTTTGTACTTCTCGTTGTGGCCCTTATTGCCTTTCTACATGTCTCTGAAGCTCAACCTCCGAAAGATAAAAATGGCGACGAAAAAGTAATTGAAAATGACCTGCATGAAGCAAAGGACTTGATAGAAGAGGACTTGAAGGAAAAGGAAAAGAACATCAAGGACTTGGAAAGCGAGGTGAGTATGTTAACCAAATCTGAGAAGATGTTGAATGACATCGGAGAAGCTTACAAAAAGGGTAAAAGTTTAGAACCTTACGGGAAAAAGCTCAAGAAATTCAACAGGAAGGTCAAGCAGGCACCAAAGGGAAAGAGATACGGATCCGTAGTTCAAAACATTTTGAAGGATTTGGGATTAAACGGAGGGAGAAACTGAAACATTTTGATGCGTGTAGGAGGTTTCAAATTTGGTTATGGAGTTTGGCTTTGCAAATGAGATGAGCAAATATATTTCCCATAGTATATACTTATTTAATTGCATCAATTGAATAAATTTCAATTGTAATACAGTTTAATGTATTACTTGTAATATTTATATCTTTCTGCTAATATTTTGCTAATTAGGTATTTATACATTGTAATATTATCATGTATAATATCTATCTTTGCATGAAGTCTGATAGTACATATACTTGAAAGTTATAACTTTGTAAAATGATATTCTTCGTATGGATAATAATGGTCTCTTATGTTGATTCCGTAAAACAAAAAAGGGAAAAAAGGAGGCAACGACAAGTAGATAGCTCTTTAGCTTTCAAACATTATATAAGATCAAATTTATTTCTAAAAATAATCAAGATTCGTCTCAGAGAAAGCACCCAAAAGAAGGAGTGAACTGGATCTTTTAGTTCTTGTGTTTATTCTTTTTTGGTCTGTTCTTCTTTGTTTGTTTGGAAAGTGTGCTTCCAGTAGCCTTCCTTCCTATCTTCAGTCCTGACTAATGTATATATTTCATACAAAAAAATAATAGATAATTCGTAAATATATATATATATATATTATTTTTTTTGTTACACAAAAATATCACTTTGACATTTTTACATATATTACGAAAAATGATTGAAAGGTACTAATATTTTTATTAATTATATTTATTCAACTTATTGAGATAAATAAAATTATTTATAAAATCAATACACTTGTAATTAATATGAAGCTTAAAATTACATTGAATTCTAAAATGATACTAATTATGTAATAAAAATATTAAAGTAACACTCTTTCATAAGCAGCTAGAGTAATAATCATCTTAATTCTACGTTGCATCACCCTGTTGGATAGATTTGGCTCAAATGTTTTCAGTAGTTAATTTTGTGATATAGCCAGCCTAATTAATTTTGGCAAAGAAAAAATAGATTTAAATTTAGCGAAAGTAAAAAAAAAATTGCAACTTGCAAAAAAATAATCTATAACATTATTTGAGAAGTAAATTTGCTTAGTTGTCAACTTCTCCATGATTTTAGGTAATTTTACTTATTTTCATGTTTTAATAATTTATTATATAATAAAAACGAATTTATGTTAATAATCTTATATTTTTAGAAAATATGTTAATTCTTTTGTATTAGATTGTTATCTTAAAAAATATATTATTCAATTATTATTTTAGAAGTAAAAATTTGCTTAGTTGTCAACTTCTCCATGATTTTAGGTTATTTTGCTTATTTTCATATTTTAATAATTTATTATAAAATAAAATAAAAAGAATTTATGTTAATAATATTATATTTTTAGAAAATATGTTAATTCTTTTGTTTAGATTGTTATCCTTAAAATATATTTTTTAATTATAAAATTTAAGTGAGCTTGCTGATTAATTTGTAACTTTCTGTGATTTAGGTAATCTATACTATAATTTGTGAATGATTTTTTGCAAGAATTCTCTCACGTTGAAAGTTCGAACGGTTAATATCGTTTATATCCTTAATGAATAATTAAAAATTTTAATATAATTAAACATAAATAAAAAATGAATTTCAATGATTTTAGATTTATCTTTATCTAAAACTAATTTATATTGGGTTATAAAGTTTTTATTAACCTTGAAAAATAATTATATTAGTTAATATACTTGAAAAATAATTATATTAGTTAATATATAATTAATTATAAATTAAAATCGAATTTCATTTATTTAATAATTATCCTTATTTTTTTTATTATGTGATAAAGTCTTTATCAACCTTGAAAAATAATTATATTTGTTAACATATAATTAATTATAAATTAAAAATGAATCTCATGAATTTGATAATTATCTTTATCTAAATTTTTTATATCGTCTTATAAAGTCTTTATTAACGTTGAAAAAATAATTCTATTAGTTAATATATAGTTAATTATGAAAAATCAATTTGCAAAGAATTTATATATAGATAATTTATATTGTGTTATCCAAAACATTATTAAACTTAACTTTTTATACTTTTTTGTTATGTCTAAAAACGATATTAATTTATTACTAAATGTTTCATGTTTATGAGTATTTTCAAATATAAATTGTGTAATGAAATTTTATAAATAAAAAGAATTTATTTAGTTTATTATTAAATATTTTGAGTCTATGAACAATAATTTATTATAATTTACATAACTTGATTATATATTTATTTATAGATATTAGTAAAATTATTAAGCCCGCAAGTGCGGGCAAAACACCTAGTAATTAAGACTTACAAAGATAATTAAAACTTTAAAATTTATAACAAAATATCCTTAAATATAATATGTCATGAATCATGTTACGTAACTGACAGAGCTGTAATTCCACTCGAGGTCACATGCATATGAATCTTTCTCACATGCATAATATAAAATTTGCAATTATATTTATTATAAATCTCGTGGAGAGTTATGGTTTTAGTCACCCAATTGGTTAGAAGGAGAATTTTGTTCGGATTCGAGAGAGTGATGTCTAACTTGGAACTTGATCACACCCACAACCAATTGTCATGTTTAGACTACTTCGAAGAGTTTCTTTGTATAAATGAAAGGAATGTAGTTTATAAATCTTTGTCAGGCTGGGATAAGACTCTTATCATAAGAGTCATAAATGGTCTGACAGAATATTCGAATGTATTCGTATTAACCTTTTCTTCAATGGCAATGCAATGCTTCTCACTTAGTCCAGTTTTTTCGTCACTAGCAAAAAAAGTGTAAGATTATTTTATGATTAGCTTCAAGTTGTAAACTCATGATCCATATATAAGTTGCTCAAAAAAATAAAATAAAAACTGTTCATTTATTAAATTATAACAACAACAAATTTCCCACTATACACCAGCGCTCTACAAACCCAAAACAAACAAAGCAAAAGCCAACTTAAAATAAAAGATTAACAGTACTTCCAAATAGTCATATTCATCAGATAAGTGATGAAGTGTTTCTTCTCCTGATGATGATAATGCCATGGTTGTGGTATATATAGGATCATGAATCAGTTGAACTGGTGGTTGTGGTTTGGGTCAGACCATCCCCAGTAACCAGCCGGCGTCGTTTCATCAATGCCATTAAACATGTTACAGAAACTCTCTTCTTGAACCATTTCATTATTCTGATGATGATGATGATCACCATGATGATCGTGATTACGTGTAGATGACGGAATCGATGAAGGGAAAAGGTTCTTGATCGTGTTCACATGTGTTGTAGTGGTCTCTCTAGGAATCTCCAGATTTATGTCTGAGCTATTTTCTATGCTTCCATTGTTGCTCCATGAGGCTTCTGCTTCCCTCTTTATTATGCTTGCTTCATTATCTTTGTTCTTTAAAGACATTACCTTTAACCATCAAATCAAATGTTAATTAAGTTTTAGAAATTTAGACATAATTGTTTGTTATGATTTCATTTTTATGTGGCATTTAAGTAAAACCTATTTAAATATATTGTTTGATATATCAACAAAAATATTTAGAAAATGACTGAAGTATATATACTTATAAAATAAGATATAAAAATTCTTTCATCATCAAGGATATAAAAAACCAGATATTTACTTAAGCTATTTTTTCTGTAAAAAACTTGTAACCATTAGCTTTTTAATAATTAATAGAGCTATTTTTTTGTGATTAATAAAAATCATTTGAAAACCCCCAAAAGATAGCTACATCAACTAGTATATATATGGTATTGTTGATGACAAAAATAAAATAATATAGTATTGTTCTCTTATCTGGTTAGCGGTTCCTTCACATGCCAGTACTTGAAAAGTCATATAGGAAGGTATTTAATTAATAAAATGATCAACAAGAATCATTTGTTTAACAAACAAAACACTTACTGTCTTTTGACAAACATCTTATAGTGTTGGATCATGAGCCTAACAATAATCTATTGCATGCACATTTAAACTGAATAAATTCATTAAGCAATCGAAGTAAAAAAGCGGACAAAATTTCTTTTAAACGTAAAACATGTTAATTATCTCCAAAAGATTTCATAAAGAAATGAAAAACTTAAACATGTTTTCGCTAAAACTTATGAGATATGATCAGATTCATTTTTACTTTATTAATCATGTAAAACAAAACCACCCAACCAATGTCAAGCCAAAAGTTTGAAAAAAGCTTGTTTTACATATAATTAGGTAGATGCGTACCTCAGCAAGGAGTTTCTTGTTGTGGGCAAGAAGAGAATCATTGTCAGACTTAAGAGAATCAAACTGTTTCTTGAGTGAATCATAGTCTCTTTCGAGCTGTCTAGTCTTCCACCTGGCTCTCCTGTTTTGAAACCAGATCGCTATCTGCCTCGGTTGCATCCCCAATGCTTTAGCTAGTTGTATCTTCCTCTCTGGATCCAGCTTGTTCCCGAGCTCGAAGCTCTTTTCTAATACCTTAACTTGCTCTAACTGCAGCCTCTTCTTCTTCTCTCCAAGCATCATATGTGATCCATCGTCTGATAAATTCTCCTCATCGACAGATTGATGAGGATCATCTCGCACGTTCGTTAATGACATAGATCTGTTCATCATGTAGTTTCCTCCTCCTATTTACACCGACAAGACAATAAAAGTTACTTACCAAAATTTTATTACCTATCTATGTAGAGAGAGAGATAAATTAATACCATTGAAGGGATGAGGAGGAAGGCAAGAAGGGAGCTGATCAGGGCTTATATCTTCATGAAGTTGTTGGAACATAAAACCATGCTGAGGAAATGCCATCTCTGATCTCAATCCTGCGGCTGCGTCTGTGGTTGGATCAAACTCATGCAAATCAACTCCACCAGTATATAACAGATATATTTGGATTCGGAAGTTATAAGCTAGGAGTGTTCAAATGCTTATTTTTCTATATGGAAATCAAGAACAAATGAATCTCGAGTTTCTTTGTGGATCTCATCAACCTCTCATATAAGAAGACAAATAGAGAGAGAGGAGAAGCGGATCAAGTTAGAGAGGTTTCTAGGACCCATCCTGTTTTTATTTTTATTTTTAATTAAGTTTAGGATTATATTTCTTATTCATATATATTTCTACTTCCTGTATAAATTCTTTAATCTTCTTAGCAATGAAAAAATTTCTTTGTTCATAAATATTTTAATAGCTACATGTTTCTTCTAGGTGGACATAATTATATTCCAGATATTTATTGATTATGATAAGTTATTGTTTATGTTTACAAAATCAGTTTGAACATCAAATTATTTATATATGAGAGTTTTACATTATATATATATATATATATATTCATTTTTTGGTTAAATTTTCTGTAAGAATTTACATATTATAAATTTTTGGAAAATATATGTGGAAATTATATTATTTATTTTTTATTAGATCAATATTGAATTATGTGTTGTTCTATTTTAATTTTCTAAACTTTTTAAGATAAACATAATAGTATGAAGTGTCTTATTTACTTTTAAAATACATTTTTATGTTTTGGATAAATGTTTATATTGGGGGTGATTGGTTGGGTTGTAAGTGCTGATTTTAGCTTAATTTTTATCTACATCACTTAAATTACCAATCATGCTTTATCTTATTTTTTAAAGGTATAACTAAAAATTAAAAAAAATGATTGTAAAATTTATTTTCGAAAGCAACATTTTTTTGCTGTAGAAAATATGTTGCTAAAACAATAAATTTTAAAGCTATATCTTTTACAGTTAAATCAAAAAAATTTACAGCTACAGATCAACCAATCACCCCTATTAATTTATAATCATAGTCTTATTTAACTAATATAATTTTCTAATCTGATATATAAATCTAAAATTGTTAATACAAAAAGTCTTTTGCACCCCGGCCCATATAATATGAGAACGAAAAAGCCCCATCAGCAAAAGTGTGTGACCGTTCATTACACTGGTACCAAAATGCGATTCATTAATAAAATTGATGAAACCGAACCAAAATAAATAGAAGTTAGTGTCGGAGAATCCTTGGTGTCGACGAGATTTAGGGTTTAGAGAGCACAGAGAAATGGGGAGAAAGCGTGGGAAAGGGAGAGAAATAAGGAGGAGAAGAAAGATAGAAGATCTACCATATGCGTTGCTCTGTCACATTCTCTCTTATCTACCGACGAAAGACTCAGTTAGAAGCAGCGTTTTTATCGAAACGATGGAGAAATCTCTGGTCACTCACAGGTCTCTGCTTTCGACTTGAACTCGGCTCAGTTCCGTAATAATGCCATTGCTTTTCGCCACTTCGTAGAGCACTTTCTAGAATATGAGCTAGACTTGAATAGATTCAAGCTGCTCTTTCGGTCTGAAGCCAGTATTTTCGATTCCTCTGCAGTGGTAAACATTCGATGTTGACTTTGGTAAAGAGAGTCAGTCAAGTGTCATTTGCTAAAGAGAAGTATGATTCGTAGGAGAGCGAACCAGATCAAATTAGCCAAGTATTTTATGAGGCATTGCGCTGTCCTGGAGAAACTGAGCTTAAGCGAAAGTTTCCTTGAACTCATGTATGACATCAAGAAGCTTCGAAGGGATGTGACATTTTCATTCAATGAACCAGTAGACAACAAACATTAAGGATAATTCCACCCTATACAGTTAAGTAATCTAGTGTAAGACTTTTTAAACTCTTTTTGTGTCATGGGCTTCAAGGTTCAAGAGTAAGATCTTGTATGTGTGTTTAGGATGTTGATTCTAATAGTTTGTATCTCTGCACCATCTAAACTGTTTCAGTTAACCAGATAATGAACAGCTAGTAGATCAGAACCAGAGAGTATTAAAAGTAGCTGAAAGTAACAAAAGACCAAAATAGTAATTAAAAGTATTTGGGTGGGTGGGTGTATCTTTTAGCTTTTACCCGATACTAGATTAAACGGGTATAGATGAGGAGAGTCACACAAATTGAGAAGCAAAGCAACGAAAGAGACGGAGATGAAATATCACAATCATTAGTTTGGAAGAGAAAAGAAAATGATCCAAAAGTTTCTCATTTTTCCAAAACTTTGACAAATCAATTTTAATTAGCGGTAAAAAGCGTTTTGGATTGACGTGACTCTGGATAAAGAGAACCGACAAAGCTAGAAAGAAACGTAAACCGTACGTCGAAGATGAATCCGCAAGAAGCCCATCCCGAACCTGATTCCGAACCTCCTCCGACAATACCTTCGAGCCCTCGGACACCGAAGAAGAAGGTTAGTTCCAAACTGAACCGATGGTCCATGGGCCGAGCTTTACGATCCGGCGCTGTTAAGATCGACCGTTCTAGTCCTCGTCGTACTGATAACAACAACGACGCACCTTTCCGTCAACTAACGACAGAGGAGCAGGCTGATAGAAAGACGTCGTCTAGTAACGACGGTTGTCGTTGTGATGACGTGGCGGGAAAGTCGATTTATATGCTTTCAGACGGGACAGGATGGACTGCAGAGCACTCCGTTAACGCAGCTTTGGGCCAATTCGAAGATCCATTAGTCAACCGCGGCTTTCCTGTTAACACCCATCTCTTCTCTTGGGTAACACAAACGTTTATGATCTTTTTATTATTTTGATCATGGGAAGCAAAAAAAACGACATGATGTTTAAATATAAATTGTATGTTTTTTTCTTTGGGGGGGATTGGTTTAGGTGGAAGATGAGGAGAAGCTGTTAGAGATTATAAAGCAGGCGGCGAAGCAAAAGGCAATGTGTTTCTACACTTTAGCTAATCCTTCTATGTCCAAATCCGCTAAAGAAGCTTGTGATCAGTTAGGCGTTCTCTCGGTTGATATCTTAGGACCAATCATCCAAGGCATTGCGTCTCATTTAGGTGTTTCTCCATCAGGTCTTACCCGTGGAGCGGCCGGTAGGGTCAAGACTCTCAACGATGCATATTTCAAAAGAATCGAAGCCATTGAGTTTACCATTAAGCAAGACGATGGGACTTTACCTGAGAATTTAGGCAAGGCTGATATCATTTTAGTCGGTGTTTCAAGAACGGGAAAGACGCCGTTGTCTACTTATATTGCTCAGAAAGGGTACAAAGTCGCAAATGTACCGTTTGTGATGGGTGTGGAACCGCCCAAGACGCTTTTTGAGGTTGAACCTAGGAAAGTCTTTGGTTTGATAATTCAACTTGTTGTATTGCAAGCGATAAGGAGAACAAGAGCTAAAACGTTAGGGGTGGATACGGAAGGAGAGAACAGATACTCGGGTTTCGATCTTGTTCGGAAAGAACTTGATTTCGCGTCAAAGATCTATGCCAAAAACCCTGGATGGGCGGTTATAGGTAATAAACATACACACACTTTGAACACCATTCTATATTTTTCTTCATTCAGTATCATCATAGTTATTCTCTGCGGTTGCAGATGTGACGAATAAAGCGATTGAAGAAACCGCAGCTGTGATTCTTCGGCTTTATCATGACGGTAGCGACAGTAGTACTTCTGTACCTTGTATCTCAAAACGCTTCTAAGCTCACGAGAATACACCTTTGGAACTATTTTAACCGATCAAACCCAGGCGGCTGTATTTTTTCTCAAAATTTGTAATTATTTTTTTACATTTTCATGGAAGCAATCACCTAATGTAAGAGGGTGAAGAAATAACTACAAAAGTAATAATTATGAATTTACTCTGCATTCCTTTTAGGTTTATATCCAATAAGTTATGGCGTGTGATTTACCATTTGTAGCAGAATATGCCACTACTTATGTAAAAAGAGGATAAGTATCATCAGCAATTAGTTGAAAGTTTGGATATACAACCTGGATATGTTATAGCAAAGTTCACACAAGTTTTGGATTCTTTCAGAAATGTTTCTAGAGCTCTTGTACGTTGATCTGGTAAACTATTTCTATTTGTATTGCTAGTTGATATACGTTCATCGACATGATTAATAGGATATTAATACATGACGCCACCTAACGAAGGTTAAAACGTAGCGGTCAAATGATTGGAGGAACATGCAAATAAACATTACAGGGATTGAAGAACCTATAATGCTTGGATATATGCATGTGGGATCAAATAATTGTTGGCGAGATAACGTCCAGGAATTAAACATTTCATTGACAAACATTACACGTATAACGTCCAAGAATTTTAAAAGTTCACTAACAAATATATATACAATTAAATTTAATTAAATACTTTCAAGTGTCAGTATACTACCATCCCCAGCTAGATAGATTATACACTATATGTTTACATCGTGCGTCTCCTCGTCGCTAGTTAACATAGTTTCGGTTAGCTAATGAGTTGGACTTAATAAAAAGGTAACATTGTTCTGTAACAATCAACTTGTGTTGGTTCACAATTATCGTTACTATATAGACATTTTAACAGCGTGTAACTGGTGCAACTGAGGGGGTAACTATTGATTTCATAAGTTTCTCTTTTCAATTCTTGGTTTAACAACACACGTTAATTCCAAAATTATTCTTTTAGAAATTTGAATATACATGAATCGTACTTCTTAAAATTAACAATATATTAGCATGCTTTTAAGAGAAAGATACTTCATGTTCTATATGGTTCTTGTTGCTATGCCTATTTACGTTAACAGATATATTTTCATATTTTTCTCTTGTAATTTGGAAGTTTTCAGTTAGATGTGAGCATATTATTATTTATTACTATATATTTTCGTTCTGTAATATACTAATTTGTTAGAAACTATTTTTAGTACATTCGAACTATGGCTTACACGCGAAACTTACAACATTTAAACCCAATTTTTGTTTATTTGGGATTTTGTTCAATTATGCAGCCATTTTGTTTCTGGTGGAAGTATACATCAAGCAGACGTAACAGAAACATAAGTATTATATATGCAAACATGCATAACAAATACTAGTATTACACAAAGCTAAAAGTACGACTTTTGTCAATTTGCCTTTTTATTCTACAAACAATGATTGATCAAGAACAACAACAATACAACAAGCATTACACCGCAGCCGATGATAGTCAACTACATTTTGATGTTAATTAATATCAATGTTCTAACCACAAACTCTTATAGTATTCCAGTTTCCGTATAGACTACTTACATAAATTGTGTATAAATAATCAACAATCCATCATCAATCGAGCAAAAAGCAAAAGCTAGTAGCTTAAATATAATCTAAAAAATGGCTGCATCTAAGCGATTAGTTGTCTCTTGCTTATTCTTAGTGTTGTTGCTAGCAGAAGCCAATGCACAAGGCTTGAAAGTAGGCTTCTACAGCAAAACATGCCCACAGGTCGAGGGTATTGTTAAAAAGGTCGTGTTTGCTGCCATGAAGAAAGCGCCTACGCTTGGTGCTCCTTTGCTTAGAATGTTCTTCCACGACTGCTTCGTTCGGGTATATGTTTCTAAATGACTCATGACTTTTCTATACTTCATCATGTCATACTCTCTTATCTAACAGTATGGGATTTATGAGCTATCGTCTAATCAATGAATCATATATAATAAACAGGGATGTGACGGATCAATACTGTTAGATTCATCGAACAATCAAGCTGAGAAGAATGCGGTTCCTAACCTAAGTCTTCGAGGATTTGGCATCATAGACGACTCCAAGGCGGCTCTAGAAAAAGTGTGCCCTGGCATAGTTTCTTGCTCTGATATCTTAGCACTTATCACTAGGGACGCAATGGTTGCAGTAAGTCATCTTCACATTAGTCCAAAAATTCTACACAAAAAATGTTATTTGAATTCACTATCAATATATTTATATGCATGCTGGTTATATTAGCTTGAAGGACCATCGTGGGAAGTTGAGACGGGAAGAAGAGACGGTAGGGTTTCTAATATCAATGAGGTCAACTTGCCTTCACCTTTTGATAACATCACCAAGCTCATCACCGATTTTAGCACAAAGGGACTCAACGAGAAAGATCTAGTCGTTCTTTCAGGTACGAGCAAGTACTGCATGATCATATTAGCCTGAGCTTAGGTTGATTATTAGTGAATACATATATATTAATTTTTTTTTTTGTTTTACAAAAGGTGGACACACTATTGGAATGGGACATTGTCCTCTAATGTCAAACCGTCTTTACAACTTCACCGGGAGAGGAGACAGCGACCCAAGTTTAGACTCAGAGTACGCCGTTAACCTCAGGAAGAAATGCAAACCGACCGACACGACGACGGCACTAGAGATGGATCCAGGAAGTTTCAAGACATTCGACGTGAGCTACTTCAAGCTAGTGGCAAAGAGAAGAGGGCTTTTCCAGTCGGATGCTGCTCTTTTGGACAACTCAAGGACTAGGGCTCATGTCTTGCAGCAGGCACGTGGGTCAACCTTCTTTCATGACTTTGGTGTCTCGATGGTGAAAATGGGTCGGATTGGAGTTCTTACGGGTCATGCCGGGGAGATCCGTAACATGTGTCGTGTTCCTAATTAAAGAGATATCAAAAATTTAAATATATCTCGGCGAGTTTAATTCTTATGGTTTGCTTCTCTATTGCTTTCTTTTTTCTTAAAACTTAATTAAGTGTGATTTGTGTTTCTTGGAAATAAAATGTATTTAATCTGCCAAAACAAATAAGCCAATGTATTTTCTTTTAAAGTATAAGAAATGATTTGATAGTATTACTTTCTGAAAAAAGTGATGCGTATATATCAGATATCTCACGTCATCGTTTCATTAAGGTCTTCCCATGCATATTTGCATTTCCATAGGTCAACCAGATTTAAAGTTGTAATATAAACATTTTTTTTTTTTTTTTGTAATATAAACATATGGCTAAATGAACCATTATGTTACTCCTTCCATAAAAGTGATATTTTGAAGTTTATTTAATTTGTACTTCAGAAATTGATGTTTTGGATTTTAATTTATGCACTTTGTTTTAAGACTAAAATCTAAAAATATGGACGGTAGAATTTTATTAGAAAAAACGAAAATTTTAAAATAAAGAAAAATAAAATGAAAGTAGTTTGACTCTGATATCTGAAAATTTGAACGGCTGAGATTGCTGTGGGAAACAAGGAAATCTCGAGGAATAAAAAGTATGTGGCGTAGATCATCTGCCTAATCCAATGCTTTTTGTAATAAAATAAAAATATAATTTGGCTCGTGAATCACGCGATGATATGTAATGTATTATTCGAGTTTATGGTGATATATCGCCTTGTGTCCCCATTTGGGCAAAGATTTTCACTCACACGACTCTCTGTTTTTGTTTGATTCTCCGTCTCTTAATTTCTCTCACTCACAAACCTCTCGTCTTTCTTCGGTCTTTCTTTCTGTCAAAATCTTCGGTCTTTGGATGAAACCTGTCGGTGGAACTTTTGTGTGATCTTCTGCTCAAAAAAAAAAAAAAAAACTTTTTCAGTGAGGCAATTCGTCGAACGAGTGAATGGCATCATCAGTTGCTGAGAGCTCTTTCCCTCTCTTGTGTCAAATCAAGAGCCAGCGTCGCGTCACTTCCTCTACGCTGAGGAATTCGAGTCTTGTCCGAGTCTCGTCTCCTGATCTCGCTTCTGGGTCGCTGTCATTTCGTCGCCGGAGCTTCGTCCTCGGACATCGATGGAAGTCTGCGAGGTGCGTGGAAGCTACGGGCCCAGATGCGAGTGGGGATGATGAGCAGGAAGATGCGCTTCAAGCTACCATCGACAAGAGCAAGAAGGTTCTTGATATGCAAAGAAACCTTCTTCACCAGGTAGGTCTAGATCCATCCTTCAAATTTGGCACTGACTTTGATAAGAGTTCATTTTCAAAGTCTAATTCTTTTTTTTTTTTCCATATTTTAGAACCCTTTTTTGAAACTATTCAGTGTGATAATTTGGCCAATTAATTGCTTTGTATGGATAAAAAAAATCCATCTTTTGACACTGTGAAAATGTTATAAAAATATGGTGATTGTGCAAGGATCTTTGTGAAGATGAGATGCTTAACTCTGCTTTGGAGGCTGCTCTTGACTAGTTTTAGGCTTAAGAGTATTGAATTGTTCTTTGACATCTGTCTTTAAGCTTCTTTCACTTCATTTAATCCTGTTACTCTTCAGATTGCTGAAAGAAGGAAGCTGGTCTCATCTATAAAAGAGAGCACTCCTAGCTTGGATGATGCAAAACCTTCTGCCAAAGAAGAGGCAAATACTACTACTGATGCTACTAAGAAAGATAAGATGGATGGAGACGGGAACGGTAGTGTTAGCTCAAGCAGCTATGGCAAGTCATCTCTGAACAAAGAACCAGAAGCTAAAACTTTACCTCTCAGTACCACGCCCCTGAAGAGCAGCACACAAAGCTCAGCGTCTGCAAAATCTTCTTCCCCGGTAACCTCTCCTGAGATAGAGAAACCATCCGGTGTAGCCAATAATGGGAAGCCTTGGTCTAGCGTAGTAGCCTCCAGTGTAGATCCTCCTTATAAATCATCTTCTACTGCAACCTCATCGAAGAAAACTCATGATCCTGAAACTTCCCCTGGAAATCCGAGTAAATCTCCCGCTGGTGCATTTTGGTCAGACCCACTACCGTCTTACCTGACTAAAACCCCTGAAACATCAAGTATAAAGACAGAGGAGTACATGGAAACAAAAGAGGAAAAAATACACGAAGAAGCCAGAAGTGATACTAATGAACCTTCGAAGGACGAAGAGAAGCCGCCTCCACTTGCTGGAGCAAATGTCATGAATGTGATACTGGTAGCAGCAGAGTGTGCTCCATTTTCCAAAACAGGTAGTTATTGTGGTCTTTGATCTATTGTACGGTTTTGTATTGCTTGTTTATAAGTAGGCTTCTCGTGGAGTACAAAAGCTTAAGACTATGTGCAATTATATAGGTGGCCTTGGAGATGTAGCTGGCGCTTTGCCAAAGGCTTTGGCTCGGCGTGGACATAGGGTTATGGTAATATTTATCCCAGAGTGCCTTTTTCGTCTTGTAAAAGCTCTCTGGTTGGTTATGGACATTTTGGTTGTTCTTTTTGTTAGGTTGTGGTTCCTCGGTATGCAGAGTATGAAGAAGCCAAGGATGTAGGTGTACGGAAGAGATATAAGGTGGCCGGGCAGGTATACCATCTGTTAATGTATCATCATTATAATTTTCTTTCCTAATTTCATTTATGATTCCCTGACAAAAACATTTGAGGTAGAGAAAAAGTTCACATGGAGTACACTTTATTGCACAGGATATGGAAGTAATGTACTTCCATGCATATATTGATGGCGTGGATTTTGTTTTCATCGATAGCCCTGTGTTTCGGCATCTGAGTAGTAATATTTACGGTGGAAATCGACTCGTAAGATTATATTCTTCTTCTTGTTCCTTACTGAAAAATATCAATATCCAGCCTAGACATGTACTAAGTGTGTTTTTTTGTGAATTCAGGACATCTTAAAGCGGATGGTTTTATTTTGCAAGGCCGCTGTCGAGGTAAACTTTTGGTTACTCCAGTAAATCGATATATTTTCTTTTCTTCTTAGACCAACCAAGTTCGGATTCTGGGGAATGCTGGCAGGTTCCTTGGTATGTTCCTTGTGGAGGTGTTTGTTATGGAGACGGAAATTTGGCTTTTATAGCAAATGATTGGCACACTGCTTTACTTCCTGTCTACCTGAAAGCCTATTACCGAGATCACGGTTTAATGAAATACACACGTTCTGTTCTTGTAATCCATAACATTGCTCACCAGGTTAGTATGTCAATATTTACTTTATTCTTATCTCCAGAGATCTGATCTATGCATAACTCACTCTGGTTGTAAATTAGGGTCGAGGACCAGTAGATGACTTCTCAAACGTGGATCTACCGGGCCATTACTTGGATAGCTTCAAGCTGTATGATCCTGTGGGAGGTGAGCACTTCAACATTTTCGCAGCTGGTCTTAAAGCTGCGGATAGAGTTCTCACTGTTAGCCATGGATATTCCTGGGAGGTTAAGACCTTAGAAGGAGGTTGGGGTCTGCATAACATCATAAATGAAAATGACTGGAAGTTTAGAGGAATTGTGAACGGTATCGACACAAAAGAGTGGAACCCAAAATTTGATCTGCACTTGCACTCTGATGATTACACAAACTTTTCCGTGGACACTCTTAACATTGGTAAACCCCAATGTAAAGCTGCATTACAGAAAGAGCTCGGTTTACCTGTTCGACCTGATGTTCCTCTGATCGGTTTCATAGGAAGATTGGATCACCAGAAAGGTGTTGATTTGATAGCTGAGGCGGTTCCATGGATGATGAGTCAGGATGTTCAGCTGGTTATGTTAGGCACAGGGAGACCGGATCTTGAAGAAGTCCTCAGACAGATGGAGCATCAATACAGGGATAAAGCACGAGGATGGGTTGGTTTCTCGGTTAAAACAGCTCACAGGATAACAGCTGGTGCAGACATTTTGCTGATGCCTTCGAGATTCGAACCGTGCGGTCTAAACCAGCTTTATGCGATGAACTATGGAACAATTCCGGTGGTGCATGCAGTGGGAGGGTTGAGGGATACGGTTCAACAGTTTGATCCGTATAGTGAGACTGGTCTTGGATGGACATTTGACAGCGCGGAAGCAGGTAAGCTGATTCATGCTTTAGGAAACTGTTTGTTGACGTATAGAGAGTATAAGGAGAGTTGGGAAGGGCTCCAGAGAAGAGGGATGACCCAAGATTTGAGTTGGGATAATGCTGCAGAGAAGTATGAAGAAGTTCTTGTTGCTGCCAAGTATCAATGGTGAGCTTAATAAAAAGTTCCTTTTTCTTTAGCTGTTTGTAAAGGAATCTGTCTTTGGGAATTGTTAAGAAGCATAGTTTTGTAGATTTAGTGAAAAAGAAAAAATATACTTTGGAACTTGTCATGCTTTGTAAGCTCCTTGTGGTAAACGATCAAAAGCTACGGTACTCTCTCTAAGTTGATTCTAAAGTGATAGACTTGGCAAAGCAGAACAATAGTTCAAACATAGAAGACGCAGTGTCAGTAATAGCTCTTTTGCTAACCATCCTGCACAAACCTTCCAAGCTTCATGATTGGAAACACAACCAAGACATACCAAACACAACATCAGTGACTAGTTCACATATGGAGCTCAATCCCAAACACCAAACTTAGCACAAAAGCAGAGATAATAACCAAAATGTTCATTTCACTATAACCAGTTTTCCCACATTATCCTTACAAGGCTTATTCCCATTGATTGTACCTTTATTTTTTAACACATAGATTTAACATATATATAAGTTCTTTGTAAAAAAAGTGACAAAAGAAAAGTATAACAACCATCCCCATATCTCATTTTTTTTCACTTCTTGATCTTCCGCTGCTGTTTCTTTGGCCCCGAGACCACTAATCTCCTAACAGAACAACCACACCTAGCTCTGAAAACAAGCACGGCCCTTCCATTAGGAGGCGCCATCTTCTTCAACTCAGCTTCCAACTCTCGGTGATGGACACGAGGCAACTCAACCCTCCCCCTTTTCCCATTGCTGTTAGAGCTCTTGATGCATTCCTCAGTCTCAATCTGAATATCAAACTCAACAGCTTTCCTAAGCCCTTTGCAATTGGGCTTCCCGCATCTGTGCATAGTACACAAGAGAATGACGAGCCAAGTGGAGATGGCGGCGCAGAAGACACTCAGAGCTAAAGATCCGTACACTATAGGGTTCTGGAGAATCTCTTGTTTGACTAAGAGAGAGATATCAGAGAAGACGTGGATGGAAGTGAGGGTGATGAGTTTGAGGTAAGGGAAGAAGAGGAAGCCGCAGGCTGTGATGACGGCGATGAGGAGGAGGACATCGATGGCAGCGGAGTGAGAGCCTTCGCAGACGGGGAAGTTGGAAGAGGAGGAGGTGGGGGATGATGATGATGAAGTTGGGTTAAGTTTACGGGTGGGTCTAGAAGAAGAGGTGGGCATAGGCATAGCTGGTTGGTCGACGGGATTGCAGACCGAGATTGAGTTATTCATATATACCATCGAACACAACAGAGCCCAGCTTTGAGATCTTTCGTTCACTACAAACTAAAAGATCAAATCCAATCGAACAAGGATTGGATCAACGAGTTTAAATCAGATTATCGATCAAAGAAGTCCTGAAATGAAAGTCATATAATTTCAGCTTGATTGAAAACGGATAAACTGAGAGGGAGAGAGCTGTGTTTGAATCTGATCAATATACCTGATTGAAATGGATATGGGGAAACCAAAGAAACCGATCCAAAAAGAAAAGCTGAGTCGGATCGAATCGAAAGCGTTTCACTAGAGAAGAAGAAGGAAGGTTGTGGTGTGCTCAAGCAATAGGAATCTCAATCGATCGTCGTCATGATTTCAACTTCTTCTGATGATGAATCTGAATGGAATGAAATGGAATCGTCGTATATGTGTGTGAGAGAGAGAGAGAGACACCAAGTGACACGCGTTTAGATAATAACTCTCTTTCTTTCTTAAATGACGTCGTATTGCGTTTTATGCCGTCATTACTTTAAATTTTTTTTTTTTTTAAAACATTAGGTTATATTCAGACAGAGTGAGAGACTTTTGAGAGTTGTATAAAAAACCCTAATAAAACAGAGCGCAGCCTCCTCTAAAACCCCTACAAAAGAAGCTATCTTTGTTGATTCAATCCTCTCCGACAATGGGATCCAATCGAAAGAAGGGAGACAAGGGCGGTGCTAAAAGTTCCGGTGGTGGTGGAGACGAAGGAAAAGAGATGATAACGGATTCGAGGTTTTCAAAGGCGCACATTGACCCCAGATTCCGACGCCTTCCCAGGCGTGAATCCAAAGTCACCATTGACTCTCGTTTCAAAGGTGTCCTCACTGATAAAGCTTCTGCTCCTGTTGATAAGCGTGGGAAGCGTAGAAGACGAGGAAGTGCCAAGGATTCTCTCAAAGAGTATTATCGTATTGACGAAGACGAGAAGAAGAAGAAGAAGCAAAAGAGGACGGAAAAGGAGAGCGAAGAGGATGATGAGAGCGAGGGTGAAGAAGAATTGATGGCTTTGGAAGCTGAGGCTAAGCGCAGGAAATCTAACGAGCAAGTATCTGATGAAGAAGAAGAGAGTAAGATTCCTTTGAAATTGGCTTCAGATTCGGATGAAGAAGAATCTGATGAGAACGCAGAGTCTGCAGAAGAGGAAGACAGTGAGGATGTTTCCGAAGAGGTAGAAGAGGAAGAGGATACTGACGAGGATGATGAAGCTATGTATGAGGACGATGGACCCGAAGTTGCTGTAAGTACTTAGCTTTCTATTGCCTTTTCTTCCTATACAAACTATCACTCAAGTTTTTAGTTTTCTGACATTGTGTGTAGGAAGAGGAGATAGCAAGTATTGAGAAAGAAACTCACAGGCTTGCTATTGTCAACATGGACTGGAGATATGTCTCTGTAAGTTCCCTCTCCATCTACTGTTGTTTCAATATTAGCTCTCTTTTTTTTGGTGTGTTTTTATCTGTTTATTGTGGTTATGGAATTAATCTGATTGGGAATGAATACTCAAGTTTATAGCTTTTTGCTCACTAGGCAGAGCTTGTTGTTGTTTTGTATGAGTTTAGCAGTATTTGTTCTTATGTCTGCTATCTTATTTGTTACTTAGGCCAAAGACTTGTACGTTGTTTTCAATTCCTTTCTGCCCAAAGATGGACGCCTTTTGTCTGTTGCGGTCTATCCTTCAGAGTTTGGGCTTGAGCGAATGAAAGAGGAGGAAATTCATGGCCCTGCAATCGGTGGTGACAAGAAGAATGTAGATAACAGTGATGAGGACGAGGATGATGAAGAAGAAGATGAGGACGTCATTAACGAGAGACTACGTGATTACGAAAAAAGCAGATTGAGGTAAGCTGAAAACACACCTCTTAAGGCTGAGGAGATCTATTATTTAAATCTCACAGTCGCTATTGCTCTGTTTCAGGTACTATTTTGCTGTTGCTGAATGTGATTCCTGTGCTACTGCTAACCACTTGTACAAAGACTGTGATGGAATCGAGTTTGAGAGGTCCTCTAACAAGCTCGACTTAAGATTTATTCCTGATTCCATGGAATTCAAGCATCCACCTCGTGATATTGCCACCGAGGTGCATTGCTACTACTCTACTTTCTGTCAAGTGTGATGATCCTGTTTGTTGCTTTCATGGAGATCTGAAGGTTTTTTTTTTGTAAAAATAATTACAGGCACCTGCTACTTATCAAGGTTTAGATTTTCAAAGCCAAGCACTGCAGATGAGTAGGGTTAATGTTTCTTGGGATGAAGATGAACCGCACCGTGTCAAGACCTTAAACCAGAAATTTAACACTGATCAGGTCTGTATACTTATTTCTCGATTTCTCTTCCAAATCAGGCTTAGAAGCATCTTCTATATATATATATATATAGCTGCAGCCGTTTGTGTTCTGATAAATTGTCACAAATCATAGTTGGCAGAACTTGAGCTGAAAGAGTATTTAGCTTCTGATGAGAGTGAATCTGAATCTGATGATAAGGAAAAAAGAAAAGATAAGTACCGCCGAGCTTTAGTGGAATCCGGAGATGTTGATTCTGATAAAGACGAGGATGAGGAGAATGACCAGGATATGGAAGTAGAATTCAATACTGGGTTAGAAGATCTTAGTAATAAATTTCGTGAAAAGAAAGAAGAGAAGTCAGAAACGGTCTGGGAGGCACAGCTAAGGAACATGCGGGACAAGAAGAAGGCTAGGAGGATGCAAAAGAAGGATGATGATGATGATTCTTCGGATGATGATGATGATGATTCTTCGGATGGTGATCATAAGAAGAAGAAGAAGAAGAAGATGATGAATAAAAATAAGAAGGGGTTAGAGGAGAAATTAGAGGACGAAAAAAGCAGAGCGGAGCTAGAGTTGATAGTAGCTGATGAGAATGGTGGAGACCGTAAAGGTCTAAAAGGATATAACATTAAAGGAAAAGGTAAAAAGAGAAGTAAAGAGATGGCAGAAGAGAAGATACCTTCAGCTGATCCAGACGATTCAAGATTCTCAGTTGCATTAACTGATCCTAACTATGCTCTAGACCCTACGAATCCACAGTTTAAACGGTAAGTTGATACATAGTTTGAGATTTTTGTGTATGTGAGAATTGTGAAGTTGTTTTTTCATTGAATATGTTGGGTTTGTCTATTCTCTTGCAGGAGTGCGACTTATGTTAAGCAGTTAACTCAGAAGCAAAAGGAAGATCCAAGAAGCCAAGAGCAAGTGAAAGATGTGGAGGAGGAGACAAAGAAGTCGTCTTCGACTACAGAAGGCACGGTGGGATCATCTAAGAAGAGGAGTTTCGCAGAGTCTGCTGCTGTCAAGTCGTTGAAGCTCAAGATGCTGCAGAAGGGTTCTGAGAAGAAGAAAGAAGGGACTGCCGACTTGGCTCAGCGATTGAAGAAGAAAGCCAAAGCTTTATCTAATCAGTAATAATGTCTTTTGTTTCCTTTTTTTTTTTGTTATGAATTCAGTGCACTCATATTTTGAAATTTAACAATTTCAGTTTTGATTCGATATTCATTCAAATTGGATAATTTTATATATTCTTCTCAGTCGAGAATCTAATCGGTTTGCTGTGTATCACAATTCACAAGTGTGTTTTAAGTATTTCTAAAAGTGATCTAAACTATTTTCCTGAGTCCTCTCCAGAAAATTTTAACAAAGAGGCATCAACATCTGTGTTGGAGCATGTTCATTAATTAATGTTGATAATATTATGTCCAAGTGAAAATTACTCAACCAGGTTGAAAGTTTTATCAAATATCCTATTGAGTTTTACATAATCGTTATTCCATGAAGAGTTTTGACGTTAATGCATGTGGTTTTCTTTCTCATGTTTTGATCTTCTCAGTGTTATTGTATGCCTAGTGTGGCTAAGTGAGAGATTTTGATCAAGTCATTCTGTTGGTGCCCTTTTAGATAAATTCTAAATTAAATCTTGAAAAGCAAAACACAATTAAATGAGCATTTTCACAGACAATATATGGGGACATATATATATATATCAAAGCTCACAGCTTTGAGCTGTTTCTTGGCCCTACGTGAACGAACTATCAGTTAGATCTCATATCGTTAGCCTTGGTCGAGAGGGTCTCAATAGTCTCCACTGTTTGTGAAGGTACTCATCCATTAATACTGGTTTGATTGTATTATTAACTAGTCTTTTAACATTGTACTAAGTTTGTTGTAATCTCTTTCTTATCTGCGTGGCTAGTTTCTTGCCATAAGTTCCTCTAATATTAATCTCATGTGCTTTGCTTGGCCTGCTTGTGATTAAAATGATTGTTGTGTTGTTCGGGTCCTTCATGAGATGTTTCCATCTGCTGATTAGTCAGCCTTTGGTCAATGGAAATGTCTTCTAGTTCCAGTGACAGGTCACTGAAGTTGGGAACATAAGAAACCGGTTCTGCGTTGTGTATGTTTTGAGTTTGGTAATTACTAATAGTTGTGTGTTTTACATAGATTTTTCTTGAAAAGTTTGAAGCAGTTGGAGGTAAAAAAAAAAAAAAAAAAAAAAGTCTCCGAGCATTGATGTGGTTCTTCACGCGTGTGACTTATTGTTCCTTTCGACAGAAGGAGCACACTAATGCAAAAGACTTGGAGCATTGATGTTTAAATTTAAGAAACCATGATGGTATTCAATTGTATATGGTCCAGAAACTGATGATGGTTATCAGTTGACTTAAAGCGCCTTTGGCCCCTCTTCTTGGGCTCATTGGTTCTTACTTCTCTCATTTTTTGCCTGGGAGGTTGAGCTACGTGGATAGATGTGAGTTTGGCAAGTGTCATCGTTATCATTATCTATGGAGCTTAGTGTGAACTGTTTGGACCATAATGAGTAGAAGCTGTCAAGACGAATCAGCAAGACATTTAAAAGAGTTGTCCCCATTGTCCTTTACATCTTTTGCATCATCCAATGTGAATTTTTACTTACTTTTCTTTTTGTTTGTATTGGTAGAATTCTTGGGCCTATGAGTTTTTGTCTTATGGTTGGATGAAGATACTTTCTTCTCTTCCACAAGCTTGGAGCCCACCTCAATAAATCCCTTCTTTGCTGCCATGGAACCACACTATGATACTCTCTTTCTTTGTTTGTTCTAGTAAAATCTCTTTAATGTCACCGTCACCGCCATTAATCGTCTACTTTTCTTGGCAGCAAAGAAGTTACCTCTGTCAACAACGTTTGATCACCAGTAAACTATCAAAACCATGTATGATAAAACCAAGACATTATAGTAAACGATTGCATGATAAATAGTTGAGAAAATAGGTATCAATTCTTAGTTAAATCTAAGTTAATCAGTTGCCGCTAGATTAATTATGAGATAAGTTAAGCAGTTTCCTACTAGATTGATGAGAAATGTAGTTGCAGAAATCATGTATGATCAATGTATGGTAAGCTTCATAGTAAATACTGGTTTTTACATCACTAGTAGCTATTTTGTGGTTAAGTTTCTGGATGCTTTTGATCATTCACTGTCTATATCTGTTTATCTTTGTGAAAAGAAAAGATCTTCTGGTGACTTGACACCAAGAACAGTGTATCAGCTAGTGGTACTTTCATTAAATGGTGAAGGAATCACACAAGGAAATGTTTTTCATCTCCTTTCTTCTTGCTCCCCACCACTAAAGTGCTTCCTCTGTTCATTTATAAGGTTAGCAATTTCTTGAATAGTTAAAGTGGCCTGTATACTTAAGACACTGTAAATGTTTCAAATCTATTTACTACCATCATTAATCCTCTCTGTCTGATTTGCTTTTCCAATTATAGTGCCAGCTTCCTCTTCTTCACCGCCATTTAACAGCATTTACTACTGTGGAGTTTCTAGTAAAACCTAACTAAAATGTGAAAGGAACAAAAGAATCAATAAACAGGTTTTGTATATAAAGAAATGTAACTTATTAGGGGTAACTAGTTATAGCTAGGAGATAAGATAACACACGAGAGTATCTTTGTAGCTTTCAAGACACCATAGTTTATTAGGATACCTGTAATAAGAAACCTAGAGTAAGACAAAAGTTTTGAGATTTGTTGAGAAGTGTTTTGAGTTTTGTAGCTAGTTTACAATGGATTTTGATAAATAGAAAAAAAAAACTTAAGTTAACAAGGATGGTTTAAGATGTCAAAGCCTTTCAAGATCATGAATGGACCAAATACGACTTTGTTTAAGTTTATGTAGAAAACATTCTTTATCTGTTACGTTAGAGGGTCATCAAAGTGAGGGCTATGGGGATAGATGTTGACCTGAAAACTTACTCCTGGTTAACCGTTTTACCTTGGTGTAAGAATGATTTGGTACTCTGTTGAGTCTTTAAAAGGAAATTAATCAAGGTGTTTAAACCACAAAGGTAATAATTTAACTAGGCCCCATCTAATTGAATGCCGATCCATGTCAAAAAGACCAGGAAAAGGGGAGAGCTTACAGAACCTAAACAGAGACATCTTCTGTTGTGTCTCTCCCTCTATAAATCAGAGCCAATCCAAGAGAGCAGATTTTGTGGAGTATCATGTTCATGTAATGACTAGTACTATCTACATACATTACATTACACATAGTGGATCACATTGAAGATATATTTTTAAATTCAGTAGGTTAGCAGCCTAGTTTGTGGCAAATAATGGGTAGGTCTCCATGCTGTGATAAGAATGGTTTAAAGAAAGGGCCATGGACACCAGAAGAAGATCAGAAACTCTTGGCTTACATTGAAGAACATGGCCATGGAAGCTGGCGCTCTCTACCTCAGAAAGCTGGTAACTAACCTTTATCGTCTACCTCTATTCAAACCTTCTTTTTCTGATTTCTTCCAACTCCAATATAGGTCTCCAAAGATGTGGAAAGAGCTGCAGACTGAGATGGACTAATTACCTAAGACCAGACATCAAGAGAGGCAAATTCACTGTACAAGAAGAACAAACCATCATTCAACTCCACGCTCTCCTCGGAAACAGGTGAGACTCAGTCACCAAAGAGTGAGTTGATCTTCTTTTTTTGTCATTTCTTGATCTCTGATGTGATTTTCTCATAGATGGTCAGCGATTGCAACTCACTTAGCAAAAAGGACAGACAACGAGATAAAGAACTATTGGAACACACACTTGAAGAAACGTCTGGTGAAAATGGGGATAGATCCAGTGACACACAAGCACAAAAACGAGACTCTCTTGTCTTCCACAGGTCAATCCAAGAACTTAGCCACGCTTAGCCACATGGCTCAATGGGAGAGTGCTCGTCTCGAAGCTGAAGCAAGGCTAGCTAGAGAATCAAAGCTACTCCATATACAGCATCACCAAAACAACAAACCAACAGCTCCTAATCATTGCTTGACTCAGAAGGCATCAACAAGTTGGTCAAAACCAAACGAAGGTAAGAAGAAGAATATATTGTGTGATCTTTAAAAACTTAAACATTTCTTGATGATGTGTATATATATATAAACAGGAAACGGAGATCAACAGCTTGAATCTCCGACGTCGACAGTGACATTCTCCGAGAATCTCCCTCTGATGATCATGCATTTAGGTATCCCCACGGAAAACAGAAACAGCAGAGTCAAAGATTCCGAACACGAGTGGATGAGGCAAATTAACTGTCCGACAGAAGTAATGATGCAAGAAGGATTCACGAGCCTTCTGCTCGGAGATTCAGGTGATCTTAGTCTCTCTAAGTCCACAGCGGCCGGCGCGGTTGAGGTGAATGAGAGTGAGTATAGCTACTATGAGGATAACAAGAACTACTGGAATAGCATTCTCAACTTGGTTGATTCCTCACCCTCCGATTCATCAACCATGTTCTGATCTAAGGCTCAACGGTGATTCCGCCAAATATTTAAAATTCTCATATTGTGTTATGTTTATATCTTCCAATACTTTTTTTTTTCTTTACGTTATTTATATGATTATATCATGTGTTATGCGATGAATACTTCATGAAAATGACCATTTGGCAATATATGTGATATTCCTTTGTTTCTTTTTTTTTTTTTTGCATAATTGAATGATAGCAAATCATTTTACAATCTGAATTTATTTGTGAAATAACCAAGAAAAAAAAATAGTTTTGGTCGAGAGATAAGAAGAGAATGTGACTTTAGCTAGATAATGAATTATTGTGGTTATCTTACCTATTTTCCTAGATAAAATTATTTTTATGTTGGGTATATTAGAAATTTAGAATGACTAAATAATTGATATTTTAAAATAAAATAAACAAGGACTACAACTATTATTCTCATCAGCAGTCCTCTCTCTTTTTGTGTGTGTTTTTATGTAAAAAAAGATGTGAATGAAGGTGGTTGTAATAAAAACAACACGTTGACATGTCGAGTAAAAGAAACAAAATTAAATGTATGGTAGTTTCATGTCACTTTCTTTGTAATAAATAGATTGAATATATTACATAGTAATATGAATATGCTTACAGTCATCACTTACAAAATGATTACACAAAAAACATTGTTTTCGATCTTAATTTTTTAAAATGTATTTTGTTAAGTTTAGGAGACAAGTTTTGGTGAACAATAAAAAAAAGAAAAATGGGCGTAACAAGGCTCTCACTATGGGCTTAAGGTATCATTTCCAAAGATTAAGGGGCTCATAAAAAGCCCAGTTAAGACCTTTCTGAGAAGACGGAGACAGAGACAAAAGAGAACACTGTTCTGTAATAACCACTCCTGGCGAATCTGAGATTTTCGGAAGGTTTAATCGAATTGGGGGTTTTTCTCTGCTAAGAAGAATCTGATAAATCAATGACGGCGCCTCCAGGACTATACTCCGGTAGCAGCACTCTCGCCCTGGTAACAATCTCTAATTTTTCGATCTGTATCCTTTGACTCGTAGACATTTGGGAGAGGTTTTTTTTTGAGTCTTTTTGAATGGATCAGGTGGCTCGTGCTTCGGCTTTCGGGCTCGGTCTCATCTACGGCAACGTCAAGCTCAAGGCTTTGAAGGTGCTTCTCTCTCTCTTTCTTCCTTGTCTTGTTTTTTCATCAGATTTCTCGAATAGTTTTCCGTAAATTGAATGAAATAATCTGGGACCGGGACATATGATCTGTTGTTGTTGTTGTTGATGGGAACATGATCGAATCATATATGATAACAGCTTGACTCTTTTATGCTCTGAAAGTTTCGGTTTTTTTCATTCTAATTAGAGACCTCAAAGATTTGTTTAGGTAAATGGTCAAGCTACATCTCATATTCCATTGAATGATCTCTATAAACACTCGGATTTTTCTTATTGTTTAAACTTTGCTTTATTTTGCAATGCAATTATTTGCCTTTTTGAAGCATAATGAGTAGATCGATACTAGCAAATAAGTGAATTGCCCTGATTGTACATGTCAGTCCCCGGATTGCTTCTTTATATGAGCATTCCATTGTTTATAATCCAAAACTCTTTTTTTTTTAATCAGTCTGGACTATTTATTATGTTCATAGGTGTGGCTATAGTGTTGATTTGCCTACTGTGTGATATTAACAAAGGCTTTTGTTATATGTAGATAAAGAAGAACTCACAGATTAAGGCGGAAGCCAAGGCTCATCACTAAACCAAACATCTTTCTCTCCCTTCAAAATAAGTTGATGAAGAAGCCTAGTGAGTGTTCTCCACAAATGTAGCTGTTTCTTCTTCTTGAGCTGTATCTCCCCCTTGGTGACATTTTTCTGTTTTATCTGTTTTCTTTTTGGCTATCGTTGACAAACAAAAACAAGAACTTTTGTCTGAAAAAGCAATCATAATACCATTTTGATTTAAACCCGATGCTTTGAAACACCGTATGTTTGTCATTTTAACACGATTTAGTTATATGACCTATTCTGATTTGCTATTCAAAAACCAAGGCATTCATGATTGCCTTCTTTTACTAGATGGTCTTCCTTCATGTTTTCTTACCTGTATTTGAAAACTTGGATAATTTCAGAATCAGACATGGCGGCAAGTAATACTATCACTAACTGCAACCATAATTGTTTGATTTCGTGTACACCAGAATACCTAACTTTTAGCATATGCGTGGTTTATGCAAAATGTGACTCGGAGACCATAAAGTACACAGACTACTCTCATATTCATAAACATTAAGCACTATAGACTTTAGTGGACCACTTAGTTTTCGGGTTAATTTTAGTGTTGGTGCTTTCTTCATTGGATGGATGATAACTTAAAGAATAGTTTTGTATGCTTTTCTAATAAATTATATTATATGATTTCGAAGACAACTTTTTGTGGTCCATTGGCTATCATCAACTAGAGGTGCAAGTACTGGTGTAGAATAGAGTTCTAGATAGAAATTATTAGAGTAGTCACAAACCAAACATCTATTATTTGATTGATGATCCAATATATTTTTATCATAGGAGTTACACAAACATTCTAATACTACATATTAGACACAAATTGTCCCACATCGGAAGTTGGAAGATATTCTTAATGATATATAAGATAGATGAGCCAATCCACTTATTACCAATTAGTTTTAGGTTGGAAGCCCATCTACCTTAATATGGTATCAGATCCCACAATCCACGTAGTCCAACCCGATCCTTATCGATCCAGCCCAAAGCCGGCCCATCGATCCTTGCCCGAACATTTCGAGATTGATGCTAGAGAGCCATCATCTCGAGGGGGCGTATTAGACATAAAGTGTCCCACATTAGAAGTTGGAAGGGATTCTTAGTGATATATAAGATAGATGGGCAAATCCACTAATTACCAATTGGTTTTAGGTTGGAAGCACATCTACCTTAATACTATATGTCATTAAACTTACACTTAATCTAGTAAAATGACATTTGAAGAACAAAAGAAATAGAAAAAAAGAAAGTATAAAGAGCTATTGTCTTCTCGCTCTTTTTTGTTTTTACATTATAAAGAGCTATGCCTAAATGAACATATTTAGTTTTTAATTTGTATTTGCCTTTTTATAGAAGTCTTTTACAAAAATAAATTGTATCGCCATTTCAAGTCCATAATCATAAACTATCAAAGCAGCGCGACCTACCCTGATGTCTCAAAACGCACGTTCACAAATTTGAAGTGGCATCCCCGTAAATAAAAGCTTGTCTAAATTATTTTGTAATAATATATTTGTTCAACTATCATTATGAGCCTCGGGGCTACGAAAGTGATTGATGTATACTAATCCTTTTCTTCTGCTATTCACAATATGCACCCCCGTTAAGTATTGTAATGTGATGGTAATCTAACAAAACTTTGGACATATCATTATTCCACACATTCTCATGGAGTTATTTTCACATATAATTCATATTGCTGGTGCATTTGCTAAACAGAATACAATGAAAGCAACGATTTTATTGAAAAATATTTGTCGTTTTTCATTTCACGATTTACTTGTATATCTTTCAACGTTTGTTTCAAGTCATATTCATGTGTTTTGCCATTATTTCTAACTTCTAAATAATGCAAGAAGCTAGGGGTGGGCACGGATCGAATATCCGGGTTTTCGAAGGTATTTGTGATTTGCTTCGTATGTTACGGATATCTGATTTTGGTATTTGCTTTGCTTCGGAAAAATACGGATATCTGGAAAAACGGATATCCGGAAAATAAACAGATATTTGCGGATATTTACGAATACTTACGAATATCTCATCCGTTACAAATAATCTTATATAAATTTATTTTGTAAAATTTTTTTACATGATATATAAAATAAAAAATAAAGAAGTAGTGAATTTACATATTTTATAATTTTTTATGTTTAAGTTAACAACTATAATAACACCAAACTTAAGATTTTTTTTATAATTTTCATAATTTTTCTCTTCTTTTTATCTAATAATTTTATATAAGTAATAATGTGAATGTAATTAGTCAAATCATAAGCTATAATAATAGTTTTATACATTTAAAATTTTAAATATAATCAAAATATACATATATTTATATATTTTCGGATCAGATCGGATATCCGCTTCCCAAAATTTTAATATTTGTGATTTGCTTCGATTTTTACGAATATTGATTTTTAGTATTTGCTTCGATTCGAAAGTTTACGGATATCCAGAATTTTCGGATCGAATCGAGACGAATAACGAATCGAATCAAATTTAACGAATAAAATGCCCAGCCCTACAAGAAGCATATAACATTATCAAACTGAAGATTACATGCTTTAAAAAGAGTTCACAAGTCAAAAAATAATATATATACCAATTTGGGGGGTTTGCCAGCTAATTGGCCATTGTTAGAACATTATCCCAATATATATTTTAGTAAATTATTTGTAGTTAGAAAGAAATTGTATCCTGTTTTTTTTTTTTTTTTGGCAATACATTCATCGTACTTATCAACCGTATAAAATAAACAAACATCAAGAACAAATTAAGAATCAGTCTAGAGATCCTAAAAGTTAGAAAAGAGCGGTAAGTTCAAAATATTCACATGCATTAAAATACTAGTATAAGATTCTATGTATTGGTACAAATTTTCAACATGCATGTGTGTTATATATAACAACAGTTTTAATGACTCACAACTCATTCTCAAAAGGAAATAAATATATTTTCACAGCGATAATCCTCTGTAAAAATCAACTAAAAAAAAATTTGTTCTATTTTTGTAACCTTCAAAAATTAGAAGATAAATGGAAAAAATAAAAGCGTGGGTTAAGTTAATCTAACTAAACTCAAGGAAGGAAGAAGTGGTTAAGTCAGGGAAACGCAAAACGACAAGCAGTTTGGCTTTTTAAAAACCCGCCCATTCAGCAACCCCTCACGCACCTAACCACAAACCAAACCCCCCAATAGAGAGAGAAGAAGAAGAGAGAGAGAGAGAGAGAGAGAAAATGGCCGTCTTGTCGTTTCAGAGCCCAACAAACTTCTCCGCAACCTCCATCCCCGGTTCATCTCGCCGCCGTTTCAACGCCACCGCCGGTATATCGTCGTCATTATCCGGCGACGGTCGTATCTCCTCAATGATCCTCAGGTTCCCTCCCAATTTCGTCCGTCAGCTGAGCATCAAAGCCCGCAGAAACTGCAGCAACATCGGCGTCGCGCAGATCGTCGCCGCCAAGTGGTCCAACAACCCTTCCTCCGGTCTACCACCGGCGGCGGCGGCAGCCTCGTCTGCTTCCGCCGCCGCCTCAGCCCCCGCGGCTGCCGTTCCTCCTCCCGTGGCGCCAGTGAATGGCGTTGATGAGGAGGTTGTTACGGTGGCCGCCGAGGGGGCGAGGGAGATAGGGTTGAAGAAGGATTCAAAACCCTCGTTTTTGAGCTCCGATGGGAGCCTCACTGTTCACGCCGGTACGTCGTCGTATCGTAGCTTATAGATCCATTGTCGTTTTATCATTTCAAATGGAGATAATTTGAGTATTGTTTGGGGTTTTATGATGATGATAGGTGAAAGATTAGGTCGTGGTATAGTCACGGATGCTATCACTACTCCTGTAGTCAACACATCTGCTTACTTCTTCAAGAAAACTATTGATCTTATTGACTTCAAGGTTCCTTTTTATGTCCTTTGATCCACTCTTGCTTGCTTTTGGTCTGAATAATAATAATAATTATAATAATCTATTTTGGTGTCTCCTTGAATATAATAAGTTAATATTGAAAGGATCTTTCTTGACTTAGATCGTTGACTTCTTTTTGTTCTTCAATTATTATTGTAGGAGAAACGGAGTGTCAGTTTCGAGTATGGTCGTTATGGAAACCCTACGACTATCGTACTTGAGGATAAGATAAGGTTTGTCTTAATGTCTCTTTAGAAATCTAGACTTGCCTTTTTATTTTCTTCTTGGGATTTGATTTAATATATATTTGTGTAGTGCACTTGAAGGTTCTGAATCAACCTTGGTTATGGCTTCTGGGATGTGTGCAAGCACTGTTATGCTTTTGGCTTTGGTTCCTGCTGGTGGACATATTGTCACTACTACTGATTGTTACAGGAAGACTAGAATCTTCATGGAGAATTTTCTTCCCAAGTTGGGGATCACTGTAAGAACCCACCGAAACCCATTTTCTTAATTACAGTAGTTTCTGATTCCTGAAAAATGTAAAATTTCAGCTTGAATGATTTAACATCATGTTTATGTCCAGGTTACTGTGATTGATCCTGCTGATATTGCGGGGCTTGAAGCTGCTGTGAATAAGTACCAAGTCAGTTCTTAACACTTGTTGTTCTTTCATAGTCTTTCTTAGAGAGTTGTAAAAGAGTGTATGTCTGACAATTTTATTCAACTGGTCTTTACAGGTTTCTCTGTTCTTCACTGAGTCACCAACAAACCCATTCCTCAGGTGTGTAGACATTGAGCTGGTTTCAGAAATATGCCATAAGAGGGGAACTCTTGTTTGCATCGATGGCACCTTTGCAACACCTCTGAATCAGAAAGCCCTTGCTTTTGGTGCTGATCTTGTCGTCCACTCTCTTACAAAGTACATCGGAGGACACAACGATGTGAGTACAAACTGTTGCAAAACATAAATAAAAGCTCTGGTTGGCTGTATACTTTATTAACAAAGACCGGTTCTCCTCCTTGACTTAGGTTCTTGGTGGATGCATCTGTGGCCCCCTGAAGGTGGTTTCAGAAATTCGCAATCTGCATCATGTTTTGGGAGGCACACTTAACCCGGTAAAACACCTCACCCTCTAATCAATATCTTTTGCTAATGCCCTTTGTTTCATGAATCTCATAAGAAGTTTGTTTTAAACAGAACGCAGCGTACCTAATGATCCGAGGCATGAAGACAATGCATCTTCGTGTAAAGCAACAGAATTCTACTGCCTCAAGGATGGCCGAAATTTTAGAGGCACATCCTAAGGTATATGCAATAACTCTTTCTGTCTGCTTACCGTTTGAGTAAATATCTTCGCACAGCACTGTAAAAATAAATGCCTTTTGATTTTTGGCAGGTGAGTCATGTGTACTATCCAGGCCTTGCAAGTCATCCCGAGCATCACATCGCCAAGCGACAAATGACTGGTTTTGGAGGTGTGGTCAGTTTCGAGGTAAACGATCGATCATTATAACTCTCTACACAAGATTTAGCTTTTCTAACTAAAAGAGTAAAATGATCCTCATATCTTTGTATGGTAGATTGATGGAGACATTGAAAGAACGATAAAGTTTGTGGACTCTCTCAAGATTCCTTACATCGCACCATCTTTTGGTGGCTGCGAAAGCATCGTTGACCAACCGGCCATCATGTCTTACTGGTATGCATAACAAGATCGATCATCTTTTTTTGATTTTGTGATTTCTTTTCTAATTTTAACTTGGATGGTTGATTTTTATATGAATAGGGATCTGACACAGGAGGAGAGGCTAAAGTATGGAATAAAAGACAACCTGGTACGTTTCAGCTTTGGAGTTGAAGACTTTGAAGATGTCAAAGCTGATGTTCTTCAAGCTCTCGAAGCCATCTGAAAGACGCTTGTCGTTTCTGTGATCTCTTTTGTCTTCTCTCTTGCTTTTTATCCCTCTCTATTTCAACGGTCACTGTAATAATGTTGTCTTTGAACTATTGTTCGGCGACATTTACCGTTTCCTAATAAACGTGGACTCTATTTTATGTTTGTCAGGCTAATAAATTTCATTTATAATGTGCGCCTCGCTCTCTTAGTTAAACTTTTTAATGGGCTAGTAGTAAAACATATTCTAGGTGGGGGAACAAGACGTCTTAGTCCAACCAGGTGAAGAATCAAAGTTTTGTACCTCCTAAAGTAACGTTAGTAGGAAGGAAACTTATTTTTGTAGTTGACATAGCTCAAAAGCTCATGTGCTGGCCAGCGAGAGTAATCAAAGCCGAGTAGATTTTGAAGATGTCAAAGCTGACATTTAATCCTTATGTCCGAGAAAAGAGCCTATGCCTTGTTAGAGGTTAAATAAAATTATAGGCTGCCTGCATGTGAGCGACCAAAATGACCTTAGCTTTGTGGGGTTTGAACACAGCGTTCAAAATCTTAAAGGCTTGGGTTCGAGTATAGGTCATCACCACACAATTCTCTGCTTCCTTCATCTCCAATGTTATTACTATCCTCTTCAACATAAGAGGCATTCTAAAATGCCTTCGTTTTTTTGTCCATCTTTTTATTTTTGTCTGTTTTAAGTAGTTGTTTTATCGCTTTGAGGGAAAAAGAGAAGCTAATCCTTCCGCAACTGTTATGCTTTTTCTGGACAAAAGCATTTCATTCGAACGATAGTAGTATGCGTGCTCTCAAGTACTGTATATAGCTAAAGATTAAACATGATAAAGGAAAGGAAATTTCCTTTTTCCTACTCTGGTCTGGAGGATATTGATGATTGGTCAAACTTTTTAATGGGCTATTTTTAGGCCCATAAGTAAAGATACCAAACGTAGGATACTTGTTTCGTAGTTGACATAACTCAAAAAAATCCATGTGCTGCTGTCCAAAGCGGAGTTCCGGACCAAGCAAGCAACATACTGTATATCAATCAAATTATCCGATTCTTTTTTATTTTTTTTGAATCCCGACGCAACAGTATCCAATTTGGAATCACAGTGCAGAACTCCAGAAATTGAATACGTATCGCTTTCGATTCAAGGACTTTATTATTATTATTATTTTGGTAATTGTCGTCAGAGGTTCAAAGAAACGAACACAGCCTTTCTGATTCCATGCCAAAGGTTCGATCCTTTCTCCCCACCTTGTGGTTTTTGAATCGAAAGGCTTCAGCGTTTTGGTAGAATCTTCCCTTGTTTTGTATCTGATCCGTGGTTTATGGCAAAATTTTATCATTTCCTAAATCCTAACTCCTGACAATCAGTTTTGCATTTATTGCCAGGCTCTAATAGTGCTAGCTTGAAACCAAACCATCCTTGTTGTTGTTGGTTTAGGAAAACACAGTTTCGGAGTTATGATTCTGTCAGCACTTTTAACTTCAGTGGGAATCAATCTTGGCCTCTGTTTCCTGTTCTTCACTTTGTACTCAATACTGAGAAAACAGCCTGGTAATGTCACCGTCTACGGTCCACGTCTTATTCAAGCAGGCAAATCTCAGCGGACAAATGCCTTCAACCTCGACATGCTTTTGCCTACTGCTGGTTGGGTCAAAAGAGCATTGGAGCCTACCAATGAAGAAATCCTCTCCAACCTTGGCTTAGATGCTTTGGTCCTCACTCGTGTCTTTGTCTTCAGGTTATTATTTGTTTTTCAAAAGTTTGTTTTTATTTTGTTTTTGGATGAAAGAATGATGTGAGAGACTTTCAATGATTTTTTTGTGGGTGGCAGTATAAGAGTGTTTAGCTTTGCTTCTGTGGTTGGGATCTTCATCCTTCTTCCTGTTAATTATATGGGTACCGAGATTCAAGAGTTTTTCGACCTTCCTAACAAGTCTCTTGATTCCTTCAGCATCTCTAATGTTAACGATGGATCAAACAAGTAAGAATATCAAATCTATATATGCCTTAACAGAGTCCAAATTTTTAAATATCCTTGACTTATGCTTGTATGCGTTTTGCTTTCAGGTTGTGGATTCACTTTTGCGCAATTTACATCTTCTCTGGAGTTGTTTGCTATCTGCTCTATTGTGTAAGAAGTCTGTTGTTTTCTCCATTCCTTATATACTCCTTTGCATCTAAAAGTGAACATAAAACAATGTTTCGACTAACTTTCTGTAGGAACACAAGTACATTTCATCAAAGCGGATTGCTCATCTTTATTCATCCAAGCCTCAGCCACAAGAGTTTACGGTTCTGGTCAGTGGCGTCCCTCTTGTGTCTGGAAACAGTATAAGTGAAACTGTGGAAAGCTTTTTCAGAGAGTATCATTCTTCCACCTATCTTTCTCACGTTGTTGTTCATCGGACAGACAAGTTAAAGATTCTCATGGTAAAGCTTCTATCAACCCATGGTTCTATAGTGCCTTAAATTTTGATGGTTCTTGATTTTATTTATTCGTTACACGCTTGTAGAATGATGCTGAGAAGCTATACAAGAAACTCACTCGAGCCAAATCCGGAACCATATCTCGTCAGAAGTCTAAGCGGGATGGGTTTTTAGGCATGTTTGGGAAGCAAGTTGATGTGGTTGATCATTACGAAAAGAAGCTCGAGAAGTTAGAAGACGACATGAGATTGAAACAGTCGTTATTATCCGGAGAGGTGAGAGTTTGTCTTTGTGTGTGATTATTTGCATTCTTCAGCATATTCATTCCTTTTTTCCTTTTTCTTTTGGCAAACCCTTTCAGGAAATTCCAGCCGCTTTCGTTTCCTTTAGGACAAGACATGGTGCTGCAATAGCATCAAACATTCAGCAAGGAATGGATCCAACACAATGGCTAACTGAGACAGCCCCGGAGCCTCAAGATGTTCATTGGCCATTTTTCACCGCGTCATTCGTGAGAAGATGGATCTCCAACGTGGTGGTATTCGTGGCTTTCGTAGCTCTGATAATCCTATACATTGTCCCTGTTTTATTGGTTCAAAGTCTTGCTAATCTTCACCAGTTAGAAACATGGTTCCCCTTTTTAAAAAGCATACTAAATATGTGAGTAACACCCTGTTCTTTAGTTTCAAATAAACCAGCTATAAAAAGGTCTTAATCTTTTTTTTTCTTGTTTGCAGGAAAATTGTGAGTCAAGTGATTACGGGATATCTTCCGAGTCTAATTTTCCAGGGTTTCCTTATGATAGTACCACCTGTTATGCTTCTACTTTCTTCAATGCAAGGATTCATTTCCCATAGCCAGATTGAGAAATCTGCATGTATCAAGCTTCTAGTCTTTACTGTATGGAACAGTTTCTTTGCAAATGTACTGTCCGGATCTGCTCTTTATCGTGTCAATGTGTTCCTTGAACCTAAGAATATCCCCGGTGTGCTTGCTGCAGCTGTGCCAGCACAGGTAATAAAACACAAAATCAAGTTTTACGGTTTCCACAATCTCTGAATCATTGTTTAATCTCATTGGTGCAGGCATCGTTCTTTATATCTTATGTTGTGACCACTGGGTGGACTGGTTTATCATCAGAGATCTTCCGTTTGGTTCCTCTTCTCTGGAGTTTTATGGCGAAACTCTTCTTCTGTAAGGAAGATGACAAAGAATTTGAGGTCCCTTCGACTCCCTTCTGCCAAGAAATCCCAAGGATCCTCTTTTTTGGACTTCTTGGTACAACTTACTTCTTCCTCTCGCCATTGATACTGCCTTTCTTGTTGGTCTACTTTTGTCTTGGATATGTCATTTACCGCAACCAGGTAACCGAATCAATCTTTAGTTTCTTTATGTGGAGATCGTATCCAATAATTGAAAATCTAAAACGATTCCATTTGCATTCTCTTGGACAATGCCAGAGTATATTCTCCTTTTAATGCTCCTCAAACCTATCTTTTTAAGCCATATAGGAATCTACCCTACAACCTATGAATCATCTACACATCTTTTATGTTTATGGAATCTCACTTTTATGTGTAAACCCTTTTGTAAATTCTCGAATAGCATTATTAAAAGCCGAAAGTAATGTTTCGAGCTTAGGACATGACATTAACGTTACATCAAGAATACATTTGTTGTCACTTGATTCGTTTGTTTCATCGCAACTTGGTGGTAGTAGAATGAACATCACTTTTTCTTTGTGTTGCAGCTCCTAAACGTATATGAGGCCAAGTATGAAACTGGTGGGAAGTTTTGGCCAATAGTACACAGCTCCACTATCTTCTCCTTAGTGCTAATGCACATTATTGCAATCGGATTATTCGGCCTTAAAAAGCTTCCATTGGCATCTTCTTTAACTATTCCCCTCCCGATTCTCACCCTCCTTTTCAGCATCTACTGTCAGAGACGATTCTTGCCAAATTTCAGATCTTATCCTACCGAGGTAAATGCTCTGTTTAACATAACTGTTTGGGACTAATTTGAATCAAATTCATGATCTCTTAGGATAGAAACAGAGCATAGTGCGTAGTACTTAGAATTTAGCCCAGAATAAGCAACCTTTAGCAGTTTCATATATAAATTTTAGCATAAAGTCTTGCTTATGGTTTCTGTTACCATTATTACAGCTGTTTCTCTCATGAACTTTATATGTCTTTACATGTTTGCAGTGTCTAGTAAACAAAGACAAAGCAGACGAGAGAGAAGAGAACATGTCTGAATTTTATTCTGAACTAGTGGTTGCATACCGTGATCCTGCGCTTTCAGCATCGCAGTACTCACGGGACATGTCACCTGAAGATCCTCCGCTTCTTCGTTCATATCAATCCTGAGAAAGAAAAAGAAAACATTTTTAAACTAATCTTTTGCTTGAGCTTTTGAAGTTTGCTTATTATGTTGGTTACTATACCCTGTTTGAGCTCTTTAACCGGGTAAAGAAAACCTTAAACCGGTGGCTTGTGCATTTGTCCTTAACCGGTAACAAACCAGTTTTTTTGTATTGCTCCATTTGTCACAGTTGTAAAGAAAAGAAGAGTTTTAGTCACTTATCAGTACTAATCACTATTTCTCCAAACAGGTTGCTAACAAGTACATTATTGGATATTTAAGTTAGTAACGATATTAATCATATCACAACAAGTATCAACTAAACTTTTTTGGGACAAACACAAATATCTGTTACACAGAATAATTTGCAAAAAAGAGATGAGAGATGAAAGCTGATGACTCTTTGCCACGTCCGCATAAGGGTATTCATTGTAATTAATCGCCACTCTTGAGGGTAATTTAGTTAATGAGTAATCCGTTTATGGAAACAGAAAAAATAAAATTAAAATATTGTCCCTTGGATACAAGTTACAAGCAACGAGAAGAGAGCGAGAGAGAGAGAGAGAGAGAGAGAGAGGAGAGGGAATCTCTCAAATTCTGGGTTTAAGCTCTCATCTGTTGATTTTCGCTCAGCTTCGAATTTCAGTTTCTCCTTTTTTTATAAGCTCAGAGAAAGTTAGGGCTTTGTTTTTGTTTCCTTTGCTGCATTTTTGGCATCTGTTATCTTTGGTAAGTTCGATCTCTCTCTCTCTCTCTCTCTCTCTCTCTCTCTCTCTCCAATCTTTCTATTTTAGGAAACTAATTGTCTGTTTTTTGATTGGTAACCTTCAAATCGGGTGTGATTGATCGCTCTTGGAATCGTAATTTCTTTATTGGGTACGAGATAGATCCGTTGATTGAATTATTAGGGTTCTTATTCCTAATTGGGAGGGATAGTTGAAAAATTGCTAATTTTAAGCTCCGTTAAGTGTTGCTAATCGCTCTTAATAACATATTAAAAGTTTAGTGGTTTTGTGTTTGCATCGTTGTGTGTAGAAGAAATGGATGGATCAGGAGGGAGAGGTGGTGTGGAGTCGATTCTACCAAACTACAAGCTCGGGAGGACTCTCGGTATCGGTTCCTTTGGTAGGGTTAAGATTGCTGAGCACTCTTTGACCGGTCATAAGGTTGCTATCAAAATCCTCAATCGTCGCAAAATCAAAAACATGGAGATGGAAGAAAAAGGTATTTTATATTGATTTTTGCTTCTGATTTCTTAACTGTGAAATATAGTTAGTTAGAACTCATTCGTATGTTTATGTGTGTTGTCTTTGGTGTAGTGAGGAGAGAGATCAAAATCTTGAGACTTTTTATGCATCCTCACATCATCCGTCTCTATGAGGTCATTGAGACTCCCACTGATATTTATCTCGTCATGGAGTATGTCAACTCTGGTGAGCTTTTTGACTATATTGTGGAGAAGGGTCGGTTGCAGGAGGACGAGGCTAGGAACTTTTTTCAGCAGGTATTGTTATTCGTTTTATTTTCAATATATCTTTATATTTGAGAGTTCAAAATTTAGCCATGACTTTTGCTTTGATGTAGATAATATCGGGAGTGGAGTATTGCCATCGGAATATGGTAGTTCACAGAGACCTTAAGCCTGAAAACTTGCTTTTGGACTCCAAATCCAATGTAAAGATTGCTGATTTTGGCCTGAGCAACATTATGCGAGATGGTCACTTTCTGAAGACTAGCTGTGGAAGTCCAAATTACGCTGCTCCTGAGGTAAGTTTTTGACCTTCATGCATAGTATAGAAATTGTTTCTAAATATCAGTTGTAATCGAGATTTGTCAATTGTTTCAGGTCATTTCTGGAAAATTATATGCTGGCCCTGAAGTAGACGTCTGGAGCTGTGGTGTGATACTCTACGCTCTTCTTTGTGGGACTCTTCCGTTCGATGATGAGAACATTCCCAACCTTTTTAAGAAGATAAAGGTACTGTCAAAAGACGTTTTGTTACTTGATATCTTTGTTCGCTTTCCATGTTTTGCCTAATCTCCGCGAGTGTAATGCTTTTCTCTTCAGGGAGGGATATATACTCTGCCTAGCCATTTATCTGCTGGTGCTAGAGATTTGATCCCCCGGATGCTCGTGGTCGACCCCATGAAACGAGTAACCATCCCTGAGATCCGGCAGCACAATTGGTTCCAAGCTCATCTTCCAAGGTACTTAGCTGTCCCTCCTCCAGATACGGCCCAGCAAGCGAAAAAGGTAAAACCTAACGTGTCTACTGTTAATTTCGTTGGAGATTCAGATTGTCTCTATCCCTCTTTTTAAAGGATGCTAATTTGTTTTTTTTTGTAGATTGATGAGGAAATTCTCCAAGAAGTTATCAATATGGGATTTGATAGAAACCTCCTCATTGAATCTCTCCGCAACCGGACCCAGAATGATGTATGGGTTTCTCTCAGCCTCTTGTCCATTTGCTTCATTTAAAAAAAAATCAAAGTTCAAATATTGAATTGTTGTGGACTGCTATCTTCCAGGGAACTGTGACATACTACCTGATACTGGACAACCGGTTCCGTGTCTCTGCTGGTTATCTCGGAGCCGAGTTTCAAGAGACTATGGTGAGTCTCATTGTCCTTTTTAGACTGTAGCAAAAGATCTTTGAAGTAATACATTGAATATTTGATGTAATCAGGAAGGTACTCCGCGAATGCATCCAGCAGAAAGCGTAGCTTCACCAGTGAGCAATCGGCTTCCAGGACTGATGGAGTTCCAAGGAGTTGGCTTGAGATCTCAATACCCTGTTGAGAGAAAATGGGCTCTTGGACTTCAGGTCTTGATCCCTTTTTTTCTCTTAATTAATGCTATATAATAATTTCAAGCTTTTCGTTATATATCTGTTTAGTTTTGATTTGATAATACAACCATCTGGATCCAAAACAGTCTCGTGCTCATCCCCGCGAGATAATGACAGAGGTCCTGAAAGCGCTTCAAGATCTGAACGTGTGTTGGAAGAAGATAGGGCCGTACAACATGAAATGCAGATGGGTTCCTAACAACGCAGATGGAATGCTCAGTAACTCGATGCAGGACAACAACTACTTTGGAGATGATTCCAGCATCATAGAGAACGACGCAGCTGTGAAGTCGCCTAATGTGGTCAAGTTTGAACTTCAGGTTAATCCTCTTCTTCACTTCATTATATAACTGAAATTGTTTTTTTTTTTGTGTTACTGATGTTTGTTGTTGTTGGTGTATTGAAACAGTTGTATAAAACAAGGGACGACAAGTATCTGTTGGATCTGCAGAGGGTGCAAGGTCCTCAGTTCTTGTTCTTGGATCTCTGTGCTGCCTTCCTTGCTCAGCTCCGAGTCCTCTGAATAATCAAACCGGAACTCTTCTAGAATAATCTTCCCACTTCCTTTTTGTTTATCTCCTTCGTCTAAGAAATATTCAGAAAGAAATGAAAAGCGTACTTCTCTTACTACTTCTTTCTTTAGTATTCTATTTTGGTGCTCTATTATTACACTTCCTTAAACTTTAATGTAAGAACGATGAACTCTCTAGTAAAACAAAACAAAAAAGATGGAGCAACTTTGTACATAACTTGCAGTTCATTGTGTTTTTTGTATCGATATTGATTAAAATCGATAAGCTCACGGAAAGACATTGTGAAGGAAAAAAGATCAGTCAAGTTCTTTTGCATTTTCTAATGATGGGAATAGTAAAAGCTGTAAAAAAAATTTCGAACGTGTGCATATAGAGCTACTAATTATCTTCTCATACACACAATACATAAAGTGGTGTGACAAACCTACAAGGAAATGAACTTGTAAGAAGAGAAACAAAAAATTATCTTTTCGAAAACCTGAGATTGAAGCTTTTAAGACCGACTTTGTTTGTTTGTTTGCGACACATTAGTTCTTAGTTTTATTGGACTATAAAGAAATGATGCCAAGTGAAAACATATCCTTTAGCTAAAAAAAATAAAATAATGATAAAATTATTTTCTCTTCTCCGTTGTTTAACCTCTTTCTATCCGTGCCGGTGGTCTTCGAACACCGACTCTTGCATCACTTTCCGTCCTCCTTAATATCTCATTCATCCCATTACTTTCAAAAATCTTCGGATTCGCCCCAACATTCCTCAATACCTTAAATAAAAACCAAAAAAGACCTCATCATCATGTACCATTACCACCAAAATCATGAACAAGCGCATAATAATAACAAAGAATCTCAGTTTAGGTCCGTACCGAATTATTATTATCTTCTTTCTTGTGATGCGCGTTAGGGTACAACAAGACATCACCAGAGGAGTCTAGAGAAACGTGTGGTCTAAGAAATGGTCTGTCTTCGTTCATTGTCAACCCAAAAGTGTTCTTAGCAAAGGCCATGCTCATACCACTCACGTGGCTCGCAGGCTGGTTATAAGTCAGCGTTGAAGCTGCGTCGTTTTCTTTCCTCTTCTTCGCTCCAGCCCATGCGAACCCACTCGCCGGCGCCGTGGCTTGAGATAAAGCAGTGTACGGAAACTCGGTTCGAGTCGTCGCTTGAGATGTCTCTGATGGCGTCTGGACAATGATTCCTGTCTCGGCTTCCTTCTTCGATTCCTGCAAAAAACAACGAATAAAGAACCGAGATTGGTTGGCAACTTGTTAAAATCTATACCTGTTGTGCTGGTAACTTGCTAAGAGGCTCTTTGATTGTTCTACGTGATTTCCCTGTTTGCTTGGATACCAAGTTATCTCTTTTCTTTATAGTTGCTCTTCTCCTGCAAATCAAATATTTTATATCTTTCAACACACGTAACTACATATTGACCACATATATATCTATAAAGAGTTTGTGAAAATTGATTGATTGAAACCTTCGTTGAAGTTCTTCACGGTACTTAGCATCCATTTCTTTGTTAGGAGGGTACTTAGGTAATGTCGATGGATCACAAGCGTAAGGCTTTGTGTTAAAGTACTGAAATAACACATACGACCAAGTTGTGTTAGTTTAAAATATATACATTTGTAGTTTGGATTAACGTTTAGGTTTTTTTTTTTGGTATTTCTCACCTCTGACATGAGAGCAGAGGAAGCAGTTCCTCTTTTCTCTGGATCAACAGAGAATAGATTCTCCAGAAGATTAACAGCTGTTTTCGGAAACTCCTCAAATGTTTCTCTCAAACAACCTTCATATTGATGTTGTTGTCCAAACATCTTAGTTTGAGGATGAAGCTTGTTCTTATTCCAAAATTCTTCATTTGGTGATCCACATAGTTTATAAATCTTGTGAAGTTGTTCTATCTACACAGAACAAACACACACAATAATTAAATAAACTCATAAAAAATGGATATAACATGAGTAGTTCTATCGCTTTATAGTCCTTTTCTCACCTCTGTTCTTCCTTTAAGAGGTGGTCTTCCGGTAAGAATCTCGGCGAATACACATCCCACGCTCCAAAGATCGACCGATACACTATAGCTCGTGGAACCCATTAGAAGTTCGGGTGCACGGTACCATAACGTCACAACACGACTTGTTAACTGATTCTTGTTTCTTGGCGTTACAATGTTGGCTAGTCCAAAATCAGCTAGCTTCAAAACTCCTTTGTTATTCACCAGAATGTTTGCTGCTTTAATGTCTCTGTGCATGATCCCTCGTAGATGACAATGTTCTACTGCCAACAGAAGCTGCTGCATATAGCATTTGATCTGAAAACAAAAACAAGACAAGAGTTAGTTGCACTATACGTTTTTTTCTTTTTTTGGTTAATACATGTCTCTAATTCTTTTACCTGTGCCTCTGTGAAGTTGATGTCAGGAGATGAACATAAGCCTTCAAGATCATGTTCCATGTAATCAAACACAAAGTACATGCTGTTTGAATTCCGCGATGCGATGATCCCTTCGAGTTTCATGATATTTGGATGATCTAATCTTCTCAAAATCATGATTTCTCTTGCTATGAATCTTACGTTTTCTGTCTCGAAGTTTTGAACCCTTATTTTCTTTAGAGCCATGACTCGTCCCGTCGATACCTCACAAGCCCGGAACACGTTGCTATACGTTCCTTGTCCAATCTAAACACATTTTGCAAAAAAATGATATAAGACATCATGTAGATTTCTTTCTTGTCACGCAAGGAATATATTTTAGGGTTTATTGTTTTTTACCTTCTCTCTTTTCTCGAAGTCCTCTGCACGTAATGGGACCAACCCATGAACGGCCTCCGGTGCGGCGGAGGTGAGCCATGAAGGCCAACCAGCCGCCACCTGCTCAGCCTTTACATTACCATGCGGCAATCCGGATCTCAGGCTAACTCCGGTCGTCCTCGATCTTGGAGCATCGTCGTCATTACTGCGATGTTTTTTAGGAGATGAGTTGCCTACACGGCGGTGAGACGGCGGAGTGGGGAGAACATGGGGTGTGTGGTTGTTTTGGGGATGGCTTCGGTTGGCGGCGGTGTCTGAACGGCGGCGGAGAGGGCGTGGTGCGGGAGAAGAATGCTTGGAGTTGAAGCAACCCATGATGGAACTAATTGTCAGAGGAGAGTTTCCGGGCGGCGTGAGTATCGACCCGGGACGGGTAAACGGGTCCAACGCAGGGAGGACAGTCCCCGCATTAGACCATTAAGACAACGAAAATAAAGGGTGGAAAGTACAGAAAGATTAAAAGAAAAAAATAGATTTTGGGATGTAAGATTGATAGAAACCGAATCGAGAGAGTGAGATAATTACGGAGAATTGACCAATCTTCCTTAATCTTTGGATTAGAATGAGACAAGAAAACAAAATGTTTTTATCTTTTAACATTTATCTTTGTTAATTTAATTATATATTTATCTATATACACTTGGGACAAATTGAGGAAAAATATATTACCAAAATTCTGAAAGCAGCAAAGAAAAGAAACAAATCAAAGGAATTTAATTATTAATTACAAAAAAAGAAAGAAAAAGAATTCACAAATTCAAAGGTTTTGATTTTCTGTTGTATGGTCAAAGTTCAAGTTCAAACGATGCATCAAGTCACATCAGGCATGTTACAAGTCAATAAGTAGTATATTCCGGTTCAGTATCACTCACCGAGCTGCTAAACCAATCCTAATAAATCCATACGAAATTATCGGCTTAAAAGTCAATTAAAAGTGGTAGTCTCTTCTTTCAATCTCAAAAGAACCGGAGGTTGCATATTGTTCCCCGACAACGATCTCATACGATGGTGATCGGATGTTCCCGCTGTGGCTGAGGTGGTGCCATTTTTAGCGGCTGGTACGTCATGGTTATGTTTACCTTCGTAAGTTGTAATGACAGCCTTCACATCCGTTGAAGCTCTCTCTACATGTTTACGTACCGTACAATTCGCCGTTGTACATTTATAATAGCTCCTAATATTTACCAAAATAATGAGGAGTTGTCAACAACAATACTATAAGAAAGCGAGATAATATATACAATAATCTGTAGTATTTCTACAGATAAGACTCAATAAGTAAAGACTATACAACCTCGGATGGGGATTTCCTTTGACAACTTTTTGTCCGTACTTGCGCCACCTATAGCCATCGTCAAGAAGGTCGACTTCACTTCTTGTCTGAACGATGACCTTCGGCTCCGTCATCGACACACCACCGTTACTTTTTCTACAATCACAACATCACGTAATTATTAGTCTGAATGAAACTTAGACTAATAATTTGATTATTTTCGCTCTACGAACTAACGATATGTTTTGTGATTTTCTCTATAACTTTATTCAATCATAAATCGAGATATACATCTTGGATTGAACATAGGGGAATACTAATAATTTGTAGGCTGCATGTGATATACGAATTTTGCAATTACTAAAGAAATATTATTCATCTTTTTTGTTGTAACTAAATATTATGTTTCTTCTTTCTATATATGTGTTGTAACATGTCATGAATATTATCTTATTTATATGTTCTTTCTACTATACCTTATCTTTGAAGCTGGAAGTTCTTCATTTTCATTATCATTATCGTTGTCATGATCATTAGCATAACCACTATCATCACTAGTCTCCATCTGTCCTACACCACCAATGTAATGAATATCACCAAGTTCTCCGGAACCTCTAACTCCACCACCACCGCCTCGGCGGTTTTGAGGCCTCTCGTGGTCATGCTGACCCTTGTAAATAATCTGAGTGATCTGTCCATCTGATGACCGTTCAACTTTCTTCTTAACCGGACAATTAACATGCGTGCATCTATAATAGCTCCTCGGATATTCACAGCCTTTGATTGGCTTTTGGCCGTACTTCCTCCAGTTATACCCGTCATCCGCCGGTTTATCAACGTTCACCACGTTATAAGACCGATTAGTATTGTTGTTATTCGCTGGATTAGTATTTGAAGCTTCACAAGATCGACGGCCATGCACGGGGTTGGATGTAGATGGCGGCATTTGGTTAGGAAATGAGACAGATCGTTTCGGTTGCGACTGCGGTTGCGGTTGAACAAAGCCGGTCTGAGTTGGTGACTGCTGCATTAGCCATTAGGTATCATACTATGGATTTAGTTGATATTAATTATTACTGTGAAAAAGATAATTTATAGAAAAAGATACTAACTATACCCAAGTCATTTTACCAAAACAAAAACTAGACCCAAGTCTAAATTGTTGAGTTTTCAAGTCTAAAAAAAGTTTGAGAATCTTGGGTGTTGTTAGTAACTAATAAAACTCAACAATTAGCAAACTATAATAGTCATTAATCATTAACTAAGGATAATAAATAACTATTTACCTTTTTTTATCACGAAATATAACAATAACTATTTACCTAAGCCAAAGAAAAAAGTTTAAGTGATTACCAGAGGTGGGAAGAACATGGGAGAGGAAAGAAGACTAGAAGGGCTGAAACCAGAAGGGATTGTAAACAATGGACATCCTCCGGCGAGCATCCCCGTCGTATAACGTCCACTACCGGGAGACACCGACATAGCTCCGGCGAGAAGCTGAGAAAACGACGTTGTCCTTTGATTATCCGGCGTCAAGACGTCAGGGAAGTTATCAACGAACAAAGACGAGACAAAAGAAAGTGGGCCTGGGCTTAGACTAAGACCATCTCCACCTCCAAAAAAGTACGCCGCCGTTTCGATCGCCGGTGGTCTCTGAGGAATTGTGATGGTGGGTCTTGTTGGAGCCACTAACGTCGTCGTTCTCATAGAAGATACACCGTCCTCCACAGCCATTTCTTATGTAAATCTTGATCTCTGTAATGAAATCTCTCTAGATATTGATATATACTATTACTTTGTGTGTGTATATATAGAGAGAGATACAAAAAGACAAGAGTCTTCTGTCCCAGTGTCTGATTTTTTAGATTGGTTTCGTGCAGCCTTGACATTGGTGTTACGAAAGTCTACGGGCTAAAGATGGAATTTCTTTAATATAATAGTAGTATTACAACTACTAATTTATTATAGTCCAATCTCTCTATTCTGAATTTCATCATATTTAAGTTTTTTTTTATTAGTATCGTGGAAAAATGATCCAACTTGCATCTTTTTTTTTATGAATAACCGAATTGTTGGTGGTTATTGGTTAACTTGTAAAAGTCATCTTATATGTTCTTTGTCAACGTGATGTCATCTGTACTTATGCAAAAAATATGGTACTTTTTATGGGTTAGCAAAATTAGAATGTTTACTAGACTTTTTCCTCTTCAGAGTTGTTAATTATCGGAGTTAAGGATAATCGGTTAGCCTACGACCTTGAAAAATTTGTTGGCTTTTGACATTATCTTTAAGAAACGACAAATCATTTTAAAAATGATTGTTAAACAGTTTCAAGACTATATTTTGGTTAATTGATCTTTATATAAGTATACTAGAAAAAAATTATATGTTTTGAAATTTTTAAAAATTTATAGGAGTTAGCTCACAATCTCGAAATTTGGTGGATTTTGACGTTATCCTCAGAAGACGACAAAACATTTTCAAAACGATTATTAAGCAGTTTTAACACTATAATGTGATTAATGGGCTTTAAAATAAGTATATTAAAAGGAATACATGTTTTGAAAAATTCGTAGGGGTCCACGACCCCTATTTACCATCTTTCGTGTTGTTTAAAAAATACCTAAACGCACTCCAAACTTTTATATATATTTGCTAAAATTATCTTTATGGTACATGTGAATCATTTTAAATTTTTCAATGATTAATTTATTTAACATTCAAATACCACTTAATATATGGATTAACCCCAACAAAAATCCTATTTTCTGGAGAAACGAAAACATTTAAGGTCTCAAACCTATTTAATATTCATACTATGGCGGTGTATGATGCATCTATGCATTAAAACAAAAATTCAATTTTTTATAATTTTCTTGAAATATGTGGGCCAACCCCTATAAAAAGCTGAATTTTCTAGTTAAATACTATATATACTATTTACCATCTTTCGTGTTGTTTAAAAAAATACCTAAACGCACTCCAAACTTTTATATATATTTGCTAAAATTATCTTTATGGTACATGTGAATCATTTTAAATTTTCCAATGATTAAGTTATTTAACATTCAATATCACTTAAAATGTGGATTAACCCCAATAAAAATCCTATTTTCTGGAGAAACAGAAACATTTATGGTCTTAAACCTATTTAATATTCATACTAAGTCGGTGTATGATGCAGCTATGCATTAAAACAAAAATTCTATTTTTTATGAAATCTTTTGAAATATGTGGGCTATCCCCTATGAAAAAAGCTGAATTTTCCGTTAAATACTATATATACTATTTACCATCGTTCGTGTTGTTTAAATAATACCTAAACGCACTTCAAATTTTTATATATGTTTGATAAACTTATCTTTATGGTACATGTGAATGATTTTAAAATTTCCAATGATTAAGTTATTTAACATTCAAATACCACTTAATACGTGGATTAACCCCAATAAAAATCCTATTTTCTGGAGAAACGAAAACATTTAAGGTCTCAAACCTATTTAATATTCATACTATGGCGGTGTATGATGCAGCTATGCATTAAAACAAAGATTCTATTTTTTATAAAAAAATTGAAATATGTGGGCTATTCCCTATAAAAAAGCTGAATTTTCCGTTAAATAATATATATACTATTTACCATCGTTCGTGTTGTGTAAAAAATATCTAAACCCATTCCAAATTTTTATATATGTTTTCTAAACATATCTTTATGCTACATGTGAATCATTTTAAAATTTCCAATGATTAATTTATTTAACATTCAAATACCACATAATATGTGGATTAACCCCAATAAAAATCTTATTTTTTGGAGAAACGAAAACATTTAATGATTCAAACCTATTTAATATTCATACTAAGGCGGTGTATGATGCAGCTATGCATTAAAACAAAAATTCAATTTTTTATAATTTTCTTATAATATGTGGGCTAACCCCTATGAAAAAGCTAATTTTTCTAGTTAAATACTATATATAATATTTACCATCTTTCGTGTTGTTTAAAAAATACCTAAATAAACTCCAAACTTTTATATATATTTGATAAACTTATTTTTATGGTACATGTGAATCATTTTAAATTTTCCAATGATTAATTTATTTAACATTCAAATACCACTTAATATGTGGATTAACCCCAACAAAAACTTAATTTCTGGAGAAACGAAAACATTTAAGGTCTCAAACCTATTTAATATTCATACTATGGCGGTGTATGATGCAGCTATGCATTAAAACAAAAATTCAATTTTTGATAATTTTCTTGAAATATGTGGGCTAACACCTATCAAAAAGCTGAATGTTCTAGTTAAATACTATATATACTATTTACCATCTTTCATGTTGTTTAAAAAAATACCTAAACGCACTCCAAACTTTTATATATATTTGCTAAAATTATCTTTATGGTACATGTGAATCATTTTAAATTTTCCAATGATTAAGTTATTTAACATTCAAATACCACTTAATATGTGGATTAACCCCAATAAAAATCCTATTTTATGGATAAACAGAAACATTTATGGTCTTAAACCTATTTAATATTCATACTAAGTCGGTGTATGATGCAGCTATGCATTAAAACAAAAATTCTATTTTTTATGAAATCTTTTGAAATATTTGGGCTATCCCCTATGAAAAAAGCTGAATTTTCCGATAAATACTATATGTACTATTTACCATCGTTCGTGTTGTTTAAAAAATACCTAACCCACTTCAAATTTTTATATATGTTTGCTAAACTTATATTTATGGTACATGTGAATGATTTTAAAATTTCCAATGATTAAGTTATTTAACATTCAAATACCACTTAATATGTGGATTAACCCCAATAAAAATCCTATTTTCTGGAGAAACGAAAACATTTAAGGTCTCAAACCTATTTAATATTCATACTATGGCGGTGTATGATGTAGCTATGCATTAAAACAAAAATTCAATAATATGTGGGCTAGCCCCTATGAAAAAGCTGAATTTTCTATTTAAATACTATATATACTATTTACCATCTTTCGTGTTGTTTAAAAAATACCTAAATGCACTCAAAATTTTATATATATTCGATAAACTTATTTTTATGGTACATGTTAATCATTTAAAAATATCCAAGGATTAATTTATTTAACATTCAAATACCACTTAATATGTGGATTAACCCCAACAAAAACTTAATTTTCTGGAGAAACGAAAACATTTAAGATCTTAAACCTATTTAATATTCATACTATGGCGGTGTATGATGCAACTATGCATTAAAAGAAAAATTCAATTTTTTATTATAATTTTCTTGAAATATGTGGGCTAACTCCTATAAAAAAGCTGAATTTTCTAGTTAAATACTATATATACTATTTACCATCTTTCGTGTTGTTTAAAAAAAATACCTAGACGCACTCCAAACTTTTATATATATTTGCTAAAATTATCTTCAAGGTACATGTGAATAATTTTAAATTATCCAATGATTAAGTTATTTAACATTCAAATACCACTTAATATGTGGATTAACCCCAATAAAAATCCTATTTTATGGAGAAACAGAAACATTTATGGTCTTAAACCTATTTATTATTCATACTAAGTCGGTGTATGATGCAGCAATGCATTAAAACAAAAAATTCTATTTTTTATGAAATGTTTTGAAATATGTGGGCTCCCCTATGAAAAAGCTGAATTTTCCGATAAATACTATATGTACTATTTACCATTGTTCGTGTTGTTTAAAAAATACCTAAACCCACTTTAAATTTTTATATATGTTTGTTAAACTTATCTTTATGGTACATGTGAATGATTTTAAAATTTCCAATGATTAAGTTATTTAACATTCAAATACCACTTAATATGTGGATTAACCCCTATAAAAATCCTATTTTCTGGAGAAACGAAAACATTTAATGTCTCAAACCTATTTAATATTCATACTATGGCGGTGTATGATGCAGCTATGCATTAAAAAAAAATTCAATTTTTTTATAATTTTCTTTCAATATATGGGCTAATTAACCGGGGCTTCTAGCTCTAGTGGTAAAGGGCTTACAGTTGTCAGTACCGCCACCTGGGTTCAAATCCCGGCCACTGGGGAATTAACATTTCGGCATCGCCAGGGACAGAGGACCGACACGTGGCAACACGTGGCTAGTCTGGACCATTTATGTGGGGCCAGGATACCTCTGTATAATTCAAAAAAAAATATATGGGCTAATCCCTATGAAAAAGCTGAATTTTCTAGTTAAATACTATATATACTATTTACCATCTTTCGTGTTGTTTAAAAAATACCTAATTGCACTCCAAAGTTTTATATATATTTGATAAACTTATTTTTATGGTACATGTGAATTATTTCAAATTTTCCAATGATTAATTTATTTAACATTCAAATACCACTTAATATGTGGATTACCCCAACAAAAACTTTATTTTCTGGAGAAACGAAAACATTTAAGGTCTTAAACCTATTTAATATTCATACTATGGCGGTGTATGATGCAGCTATGCATTAAAACAAAAATTCAATTTTTTATAATTTTCTTGAAATATGTGGGCTAACCCCTATAAAAAGCTGAATTTTCTAGTTAAATACTATATATACTATTTACCATCTTTCGTGTTGTTAAAAAAAATACCTAAACGCACTCCAAACTTTTATATATATTTGCTAAAATTATCTTTATGGTACATGTGAATCATTTTAAATTTTCCAATGATTAAGTTATTTAACATTCAAATACCACTTAATATGTGGATTAACCCCAATAAAAATGCTTTTTTGGAGAAATGAAAACATTTAAGGT